GAGGTACTCCAGCTGTAGTGTTGCTCAAGCTACTCCTCTTCATCTTTGTCACCCCCTGCCACCTCTCGCACAACCCCCCCCTCCATCAGTCACGGCCCCTTGTCCATCAGCGTCCTGCAGGTCGCCGATTAAAGAGAATATCTCTTTAATGCCTCCTAACTAACAACCCCCCTCTCGTACTCGCTTCCCTTCTTACTCCATCTTCTTCTGTCCTCTCTTTCGTATCTCCTCCCCTCCCGTGTGAGGCGACCTGGCTCTCTTCCATCAGCTTGTCTCTGGAATCTGCGAGCTGAGCCTTGGTATGCGCCCGGCGTGCTCAAACTAAATGCTTTTCTATTATTATTATTTTTTATTTCTTTTCTCTCTTCATCCGCCCTCGGATTTGATAACTTGAACATTGCGTTGCCCCAAAAAACAGGTGGCCGGCTGAAGTAATTATGTGGGTCGAGCCTGGATGGAGAGTTTAGTTCACCCCATGAAAAAAGGGAAAGAAAGCAGCTTTATTTTCGTTTTGCTTTTATCTATGGCTCTTCTGTTCTCCGGTAACATATCAACCAAAATCCCCACCCAGCCCTTGCCTGTGTTTGCCATTAAAACCAGGACAATGCACCTGGTTAACTGGACCCTTTGTTCCTGCTGCCCACTGATCGGTGAGACTCAGCTGACGTCGGCGCCGCCATGGACTCAAATCAAAGGCAGGTTGAACCTGTATGATGGTGCTTTTCGCTCGCAAACCGCTCTCTGAAGAAGGAGGCCCTACCCTCATGCAGGGACCCTCAATCATCATCAAATCGTCAGTGGCGGCTTTGATGCTCCATTCAGTTGATGGTCCTTTGTCGCGGCTCTCTATTCATCGGCACCTGGGCAGGTTGGCACCGTTAAACCCTTCTGCTGTGTTATCAAAACAAATGCCTGACCCTGTTCAGGGGATTGGATTTTAGATTGAGAGGCTGTGTTTAAGGGAGCAGTCAAGTGAGCCGAATGTGTCGTCTCTTTCGACGGGATGAGGGTAAGTACAGGGTGCAGGAGCGTTAAATCCTTAAACCATTATCGGGTTCCAGCGTGTGGGCTGAGATCACGATGTGGTCCCAAAGAAATGGAAACTTTGTAAGGAACTACGTGCAGTGGGTTCTAACATGAACAGAGGAATTGGGACATGCTGGCCTGTTTAAACCTTAGTGCCTGTGAAGCACTTCACAGCTGAGCCGAACAGCCGTGGGCAGCAGCGGGCAAGACACTCCGGCACCGCCCCCCCCCTTTGGCAGCCCAGCTCGTTCTTGTCAGCTGTGTGAACGTGGCTTCAGACGCCAGCCAGCATGTCCCCCGGGTGCCTCCTCACCGCTGGAGCCGTGGGTGGGTGGGGGTGAGCGGGGGGACAGAGTCCTCCTTAATCACGTCAATGCGAGGATGGGACCAATGCCCAGAATCGCCGTCCCCCCGGCAGGTCCGTCCGTGAGCAGCCGAGCCACGGCACTGGGCAGAGCAGCCGAGGGGCTCTGGTCCCGCTGGATGCAGCGAAACTGACAAATGTGTGTCTCTCACATTGGGTAAACACGTGGAGATCAATGAAAAGGTGTGTGCCGCCCCGACAAAACACACACGCGAGCGCCCGTGCATGGCCATGCATACACATTAAACACTAGCGTCCCTAAATTAGTTTTGGCCTGGAAAATGTCTTTTTTACCTGAAATGATAACAACAATAATGGAGGCTTTGCTGTTTGCCCTCGTGTTGCTCTTTCTGAAAATAGGGGTCCGAGTCTGAGAGGCGGAGACGAGCGGAGACAAGGCCGGTGGTTCATTGCGGTGTCTTTGATGCACCGTTGTTCCGCTGACTACCCTCTCCTCTCTGTGTAGCCTCTCGGTTTTGGGCCCGGCTCCACGACCCTCTTCACAGACCTCTGGTCCGGCTCTGCTACCGCAGGCGCACTTCTTTAGCACGCGTCAATATTAGCTAAGGATTATTTCTGGAAGTCCAGAAGGGTAAAATCCTTTTAGAGATTACAGTCCTGACACAAAATAATGAGGAGGAATCTCAGGAAATGTGGAGGAGCCATTAATGAATATTTATTATTTGCATAAGAAGCAAGGATGATTTAACTCAGGAATACTGTGGAAAGCAAAACTCGGGTGAAGCCACAGGGTGTCCTGGGTAACCTCAGCCCAGAATAGCCTTCGATGAAGACAGGAATCACAGTATAGGCTCCTTTGCTTACAGATGTGGACAAAAAAAGAGTGAGTAGAGGTAAGTCCTTCCACACATGGATCATCCTCAACAGAAAATGCTTCATGTTTGGATCAGAAGCCGGCATTCGGGATCTCTATTCGGGAGAGAATGAATTAGAAACATGGCGGCCAACTGGGTGGTCAGGCCACTCACACGCTGCAAAGCCAAAAGATTTGACTCATGCTTTTCATATTATTTAATAGCACCAGACAGATCTAAAGGAGGTATGTAAGAAAATATGCTGTGTTTAAAAGACGCAACTGTATTTACATGATCTGTGAACGATTCCCATGTGGGATATCCTCCTGCAAAGAGCCTCTGATTGTTTGAAGCAGTCTGCAATTAGTCACGCAGTTCTTGAAAATGCTTGTTGCCTTCGGGGATCTGAAAAAATATTTTCCTTTTTTTTTTTCTCGACTAGATGAGGTTACTCACTCCTTATTCACCCCAAGTGGGTTTGGATTAGATAAGACTTGGATCTACCAAAGCAATTTGGGCTGAAATAAATTCCTTTAGCCAATTAACTACCTCAGCTCAAAGGTATGTAACGCCTTTCTGTAAGAAATACCTGCACTGACAGGATTTCCCCTTAGTTTCCTAGGTTTAATTCACTTTATCCATTCAACCATTCATTTTGTCTACTCTAGTTATCAAATATTATTGATTCATTTTAGCTTTAAGCTATTTATTACTTAAAGCGAACATATGCTCATCTTAGCATTCTTTTTGCTTTGAGAGCTCGTCAATCTTCTCACATTGGCCTAATCACTATTTCAGAGGACATACAGTGAAATGTCATCACAAACACCTGCCCAGCTTCTTCTGGTGAGGAGACGAAGACCAGTGGACCACAGACAAATCTGTTTCATCCTGTGTTAACTTCAGCCGTATGGGATTCATTGACATCACATTTTCAAAGAATCTATCGCTCCAGCGTTCTGAAAAGTTCAAAAGTTCACGTCGCACGTGTTGCCTGAACTGGGCGACTTAAGGAGCCACTGCCTCGTCTGGTGATTCAACAGAAATTGTCTTGTTATCGCCGTACATTAGTCTGTTCGGTTCATCAATGACATTATGTAACCTTTACAAGAGAATGGCATGCACTTTTGTCTGTACCTCAGGGTGTGTAACATGACGACAGGCTGCTCAGAGCAGACATACTCTTTTGCTTGGATTAATAATGTAAGTGAGTCTGACAACGGAAGAGAGAAGATTGAAGTGAGTCACCCGTAGAACCTGCCTGACTCATTTTTACAGTTTTTACGTTGATTTGACGGTATTCGGTGCGATTGAGGAAGTCTAGCAGCCCCCCGGTCTCCCTCAACTCCCCTCTTCTGCTCTTCAAGAAAAGAGTGGAAAGTCCACTAGCAGAAGTTGGAAACTACAACCACAACCAGCCAATGCACAGGACAGTTATTCATAGACTGACGCACACACACACACACACACACACACACACACTTGGGGTGGTGCACAAGACCAGCAGCAGTGGCAGTAGCAGTAAATTGGTACAGACATCCGTCAGAAGCCCCATGAGTCACACTGGAAAACATACAGCTCTCCAAAGCCAGAGTAGATATCCATCAAAAGTGATTGCGGCTGGTGCGAGCTCCTGCAAAAACACAGATATATACACACAATTATGTCCATGTACACACAAACACATACTTTCTCGCGCACATACCAACTACATAACCATACATGCACAGGAACACACAGGGCAGAGACCTTTGTGGTGTTGGCGGTGGGGCGGCGGGGGGATAACGAGCAGTATGTTGTCCGGAGGACAGACGGCGGAGCCTGGGGGACACGCGCGTAACCACTGCAGAGGCTTTCATCTGCAGCCAGCTGAGGTCACCTGACGACATAAACACTGCCTGCAGAGTGAACCTTGACTCAATCTCCTGGTCTTTTGATAGTTTTTGAGAGCGCAAGCACCTTATTGGGAAACCGAGTACCGCAACGTGTGGAAAGTGGGGGACATAAATCAATACAACTGATCAGACGGATTACGCATGATGAACGAAAGACAACTTATAGTGAATTAGGTTTTTGTGGGAGATTCTTAAAAAAAACAGCTTCTGCTCTTCCTGCCAGCCAGGAAACTTCAAATTAAACTGAGGACACACAGACCCAGCACAGTAATAGAGAACCAAATTTTTATCTCAGCTGATGAGCCGATTTTAGTGGGTCATCTTCTTTTTTTTCTGCCCCCCAACTCCTCCCCCGGTCTCCTGCTTGCCACACAGAAGGCTGAGCTGTGGTGTGCAGCTCCGTGTGGGGCTGCGTGGTCAGGCAGTGCGGCGCTGCTGCACAGATTCCTGAGACATCAGACATTCTGGTGTTGGTGGGGCCAGCGGCTGCAGCCTGTGCCTCACGCATGACCCCCCCCCGCCCCCCCTCAAGGTCAGCAGGTCAGATCCTTTGATAAGCCGGTTCGCGTAGCAGCATGGCATGCATGAGTTTGTCCTCTCCTTAAACCACAGTGGGTAAAGTTGTACGCATGTTTGCCTGCCCGCTCTCTGTCATGCTCGGTTTTCTGCTGCTATGGTTACTCGGGTTTGTACCGGGTGGTTTTCTAGGTCTGGATCAAAACCCAAACACAATGCATGCTTGATTCGGCGGGCGGTTTCCTATCTCATCGCCACAGTGGGGCAGCTCGTACGCGTGCTGCAGCCTTCGTGTGTGAGCACGTACTTGTCTCTGCACGCATTTACACTCACAGCTTAGTGTGGATGTGTGTGTGTGTGTGTGTGTGTGTGTGTGTGTGTGTGTGTGTGTGTGTGTGTGTGCATACAGGCGTCCCAGAGGGGGTGAAAAGGCCTACACCTGCAGAGGATCTGCAGAGAGCATCTCTGTCATCTGGAGACCTGAGAACAGAGAAGGAAAACAGATGAAACATACGGGGGTCACCCTCCACCCCCAGACGTTGTTATTTCAAGCTTTTCTCATCATATTGAGGAGGAAGGGAACAATACACAGCACACACACACACACATAAACTCGCTCGGAGCACTCGCTCAGAACAGCACAGTCAGCTCTTTCAGCAGACAGAAGAAAGAGAAATATCAAAGAGCTAAGGAGCAAGGAGGAGGGACAGGGTGAAAGATATAGACAGCAGGGGAGATAAAGTACTTTATCCACAGAGGCTTTACTCCTCACTACTCCTCTACCACTTTTGCACCAGTGTGATACAAAACATGCATTAACACGACTTGAGCTAGAGGCAGCTTTTTTTTGTTCTCTCTCTTTTTAGGTTTTCAACTGTTTACATCTGCCAGCTATTTTTCACAGAGTCTTAAGAGAGGTGCGAGGGAACAAGCAGTGAGAAATCTCGGAGAAAAAGGAAATCTTGTCCACTGTTCAGGAAAATCAACAGGTATTGATAAATGTTTTCATGGTGTTGACAGTGATTTCAGTTACACTGACTTTGCACATTTGCAGAGTTTTGCAAATGTGCAAAGTCAGTTTGCACATTTGCAAAATATACATTATCCCTCATATATAAATCCCCCCCCCGACACTTTTCCACTCCACGCTATCCCCTTCTCCAGTTGTTAGGAAGGAATTCCTCTCCAGTAGATCTAATGGCAGTCGGGATGATTGATCAGGTGGTAAAGAGACTAGAGTCATTATAGGTCTACAGTCTGTGCGAGCATGCATATATTTGTGCATACATGTGCAGTATACATGTCACACACGTGTGTGTGTGTGTGTGTGTGTGTGTGTATTTGTGAATCTGCCTGCGTGTAAATTCCTCGTACGCCCATGTGTGTGTTTGTGTGGCTTCACAGCGCTGGAGACACCAGGACACTTGGCACCACACTGACGTGACCCAAAATTCGACCCTGCGGGACGCCAGTGACGGTCTGACATGAAAGATGAGGCGCAGAGGAGGACATCATCAACAGGCGGCGGGGAAACAAAGCTCCAGCTAATCGCTGCTTCCTACAAAACTACATCTGTAAAGTTACTTTTAACCCGAGAAACAAGCAAGACCAAATAGCGAAACAGAGTAAAGACTCTTACACAGTCAATTCATGCTGTAGACGTGTTTTGTTCCTCACAAAATTAACCTCTTTGAACCTTAACCAATTATTTTTACCAAGCAGGGAAGAGCAGCTTAAGACAACTTCAGGCACTTGCGTAACAAACTACAAGAAGAAACAGATCTGCGCGCATTTCCCCCCCTGGTAACCGTCCAATATTGAGGCTTCTTCATGCCTCTGCTCTCGCTGTCTGCAATGAGCGTCTGTGTACATAGTTCTCCTGCACTTGGATGCCCTTGCCACTCTGGGTTTATCTTTTTTTTTCTCTACTGTTTCTTCTTAAAGAAACATTTGTTGGGTTGAATTAAAGCTTGAATAAACTTCAATAGGCTCGGGTGTTTGGCACGAGGCCCATTGGGCTCGTCCGGTGTGGGCATTCAACCCCCTCTGCAGCGGAGTAGACAGTGAATTTTTCAATACCTTCAGTGGATGTTATTTGTCCAACAGGTCCATGATGTTACCAGAGCTGCAGCACTGTCGGAATACAAAAATTCACTTAACTTGCTGATATTATGTGACATGAGCAGCGCCCCGAGGTTGTGAAGGGATGGCACTGGGGGTTAGGCTATGCTGAATAAATGCTTTGATGCAGGTACTGATATGTCCCCTCCCCCTCTCTCTCTCTTTCGTCTTCAATTGCTTCGTTCAGCCCTTTTATTTCTCAGCCCTTGGGTCAGCTAGCCAATCTAATGGGCCATCGGCTGAAGGGCGAGTAGTTACAGAGCAAAGCTTTATGACTCAGGTGCATCCCGCTCACAAACACACCTGAAGAGGGCCTTGGCTGACCTGGATGGGAGGCGTGCTTAGATGTTTTTCCTTTGACTGCGGCTGTTGACCTTTATATAACGTTAAACCCTCTACAGCGCTCCCAGTTTCCTGGACTTACAATCTGGGCAATATTAGAAAGAAAAGGCCCTCAGGGCGAATAGGGGTATATGGCCAAGTTCAAAATGAGTGTGCAGTAGTTTGATATTCAAGAAATATATATTTCTTGGCGCATCTCCTTCCCGGAAGATTGAATTTTGCGCGGGTCAGTGTTCCTGTGTGGCCCGATCACCTGTCGCCTCAATCCTGTCATGTTGGCACGCAAATATCCATCAAGTCTCTCAGACAGCGGGGCCGAGGATGAGCAGGCCAGGAACCCTGCAGGAAGCTCTACAATGGGGAAGCAAATACTCATATCATTCCTACATGGGCGTAACTGTTAAGAAGTCCGAAATACTTGCCAACACCTGAACCCCCGACCCTCCATCCTCTGATTGTGGCGTACCTTCCTCTCCTGTGTGATGTTTGGTTTTCCAGTCAGCTCCGCGTGCTCATCCTGACTTCCCCGGACTCGGGACTTCAGTGGAAACTGAATCAATCAACTGCTCTTCCTCAAAGTTTCCTTAATTCTGTTTGTGTAGGAACCGGGAGGTGGATCCTAGTGAAGCCAGTCAGGCCTCCACTAACACTGCTGCTGTATAGTGAGTCACACAGAAGCTCCCACAGTCAGATATAGCTTTCACATGTTTACACAGGGTAGATAAAAAAAAATCATTCGGCGGTCACCGAAGGATGTATGTAGAGAGCATGGAGAATTCTGTGTAACAATCATCCCATTGACCCTCTAAAACTCAGTTAGAATTCTTCTAACACACAATATACAGAAGCTTTGGTATCAACGCGCCTATGTGCCTGAGAGTATTTTAAAGGCTATTCTGTGGCAGGAGAAATCCCTGCGCGTGTGTCGACTTCCTTCACAGACGCTGTGATGGAAGCAACTCATTTCCTCACACGCATGCAGGCACACGCAAACAGCAACTCATGATTCTCACATTCAGTCCGTGTCTCAGTTACCCATTGACGCAGAATCTCAAAGATAAACACGTCACTTTTGTGACTGGTCACCTTGCGCCATCTGCAGGTCACAGAGGATTTGATGATGAATATTCTCTCAAATTCTGACACTTTCTTTGGGTCTCTATGAAGACATAACGTCCATTTATTATTCTAAATTCCTATTTATGTTAAAATAACCGATACATTAGAAAGCTGAAGGGACTTAAATGTTGTGAAGACATAATACCAGAATTTACCCAATTATTCCTCCATCACCTCTGCAGCATGTGTGGAGTAGCACGGAAGATGTCACTTGTAAATGTACAAGTAGGTTAATACCGTGTGTGTCTTTCTCTCCATTTTCCTTTCAATATTGTGAGTGGAAGAGAGAGGCAGCATTCACACTGGGTCTTCATTGCACCACTCCCAATAGTTAGCAGCTTCACAGCTAGATTTAATTTTTCCTAAAACATTTACTGGGCCGATTGGAAAGTTTTAAATGAACCCAAATGAATACAAACACATCCTTGCCTATGGAACAAGGATTTCTCTGAGAGTGCAGAAGCTGCACTTCGTTTTTTGTGCGCTCCGCAGTAAAGTTCCATATGACTCGTCTTGTGTTTTCCAACTCTGAATAATTTTGGATTTGTTTTCTGTGTTAACGACAGGAGGGAGGGAATGACAAGAGACAAGAAGGAGAAAAGTTCAGGGAATGAATGGGCTTTTTAAATACCTTGTTCAGCTGCACTGCTTGTTCTCTCCGCTTTGACGGAGTTACCTCTTTTAATAGCCCTTAATGTGTCACAGTCAGCGATCATAAGTGTTCTCTTTCCTTCTTGCAATTCCTTCCCTCCATTCATGTGTCAAGAAGAATCTTAATGAAACCATCCTTCATGAATACATTGAGTATATAGAAGTATTGACAAAAAGTTAAATAGAATATATATATAAATGATTCTTACTGAATTTAAAACAAAAACTGTTAAAAACATAGCCAAATGATGAATAGGTGCTAATTGATTTTTTTCTCTATCCATGCACTTAAAAAGAAAAATATAACAATGTCTATCCTGACATTTATTTTATTGTATAGATAATTTCACAATGGATAATTCTTAACTCGCCAGTTAATTTACTGATGTATTGCAAGGAATATAAATGCAAATGTATTTTTCTTCTTCTTTGCATTACACATAAATTACATCAGCTAACAGGAAATTAATTTGGATTAATTGGAAAAAGTTGGATAAATGAGATTAGCAGAAAGGAAAGGAGTGATATCGTAATATCAAGACTCACCAGAATAAACAGTACAAAATTTGTATGAAAGTATGAAAACATGAGACATGTAAATGCAACTACTGTGGGCAAGAGGAAACAGAACATTTTATGGTTCACAAAAATATGAGGAAAAAATAAAACAATTTGAAAAGATAAGAGACAATTTAAGAGGCTTATTGAATACAATTTTAGTCTCTAAGAATAACACATTTTATAAAAAATGTTTTTTCAATGTATTATTATTCCTAACGATGTAAGTAACGTAGTTCATACCAGAAGGTGGCGGTAACGTGCCAATTTGTAGCCAATAAAACACATAGAAGAAGAAGAGGAAGTTGAGACGTTTCCCAGCGAACTTTCAGAGCGCAATTGCCATGGTAACACCACGAGACGAGCCACCAGCTAGTCAGGATCCCCGTCCTGTGTGAATACCGATACATGTCAATGGCTTCGGCTACCGCACCTCGTGCAGAGGAAGAACTGTGGGTGTTTTTCATACTGTCCCAATATATTCCATGCAGTATATGAGCTGTGTAATGCTAATTGCGATTCGCGCATTAGCATGCTAGCTAAAGAAAAACTAACGTTAGCTCTAATGTATTAGTATTTAATCATGCATTTCTTCACCTTAACCAAAAATGAAGGCAAAGGGGAATGTTACATTTGTTTATTGGCTCCTTAGGAATGAAGAATCCGGAACATGTATTGCCTAATATGTTACAGTTATAACGTAACGTACAAGTAATTTGACATGGCTTTTGGCAAAAAGAGCGTTCCCTGACCGGGAATCGAACCCGGGCCGCGGCGGTGAGAGCGCCGAATCCTAACCACTAGACCACCAGGGACGGCGGATGCCATCCATCTAAGACAAGCTTCTCTCCATTTTTCGGGGATCGGGGAGGCCCAAAATCAAGCAATGAGTTATTCCCCTGCTTAACATCAGTAGGCCAGCATTGTGAGCATGTAGCATGCTGAGGTTACCATTCACAGATCTTCTAGCATGTCTGTAGACTCTTAGTTTTGTTTTAGTAAAGAATTATCTACAGCTTGGTTGACTTCCATGCACCCTTCTGCTTGTGTTGTCTGTGTAGGCTGGCTAAAGTATCTCTGCGAGGTTATCAGATGTGAGATGTAAGAAGTACAACTGTGCAGGGTAAACTTTACTCTTTTGTACCTAGCTGCACATTCAAATTCCTCCTCGACAAATTTGGAGAAATAAAAAAAAACCTTAGCCCAAAAGTTTATATACCCTCTCCTAAAAAAAGGAGTTGTAAGACAATAATGGGCAAGGGGGATAGCAGGCTGGAACCGTTGGGCCAAGCTGTAATACTGCCAGGGATGACATAAAAAGCCAAATTCTCTTCTGTCAGTCATAACCACGTAATGCAACCTGAGATAATAGCTGATGTCCTGCCAAAGACAGGATGCAGTGTCTAAACCCTGTTATCGAAAGCCCAAAGCGCTAATCCGCTCCGTTTATCTCCTCAAAATTGGCGGAATTGTGTTGATCCACGCAATGAGGTCTTACATTACAAACGTGACAACAGATGGAAAAAAAAATCTGAAAGCAGCGGCGTGAGAGGACATTACAAACATTCAATGGGATGGTCATAATTATGTGTTGTGGCCATTTGAAGCCACATGTGTAATCATGCTGGTGGGCTGAGAGAGGAATTCACAGGCATCAGCGGGATTATGGAAGTTGTCTCACCACGCCTGGCGGCAGATGAGCTCTCACGCTGGTGAGACCCAGCTGCAGACTGATTCATGCCGTAGCAGCACCATCAAGAGCTCCTTAACTTGTCAGGAGAACGTCTTCCCCTTCTGTGTAAATATGCACTGGTACACGTTAAACCGACAGCACGTTGTTTATTTTCCGCACACTATACTGTAGGTCTTTTCATTCATGGCAACGGAGTATTCTCGCAACATGAATACCCGAAAGGATATGAAACGACATACAACATATGGAAAAGAGAAAAAAAAAACTGTATTCATGATGATGGAAAGGCACCCAGTGGTGGTGGAAAGTGAAACACCGGCTGTCAACAGAGCAACACTCGGGCTAATACAGTCATGCCCAGGCAGATTATAGAAATGTAAAAGGGTCCAGTTGTTAAGGAGCAGTTTGTCGAACACCATAAAGATGTAGCAGTGTTACTAGGTCTGCATATGATGACAATGGACGGGGAGCGATGGGGGTGGGCTTGCAGACAGGATGTGGTGTTTTTACTCAGTGGAGAAACTGCAGGGACTCTGTTGAGTGGCACCACAGGTCCCTGGTCAGTCACAGGCTCTGCTGCCATCCATCAAGCACCATCTCTGCCTTAGATGGTCTGAATAGAGGGTGTGTGAGAGAGAAAGCCAATGAAGACTCATCTTACTTCTGTTTTTCCTCTTACTCAAATGTGGCTGATTGTATTTGGTTACTAAAGTAACAGCCATTACCTCGATCAGGCTAACAATCAAGTTTTAGGTTCGGAGCCTCCTAAATCAGACCGCTGGCCTCACTTTGTGATACTACGTCGTTCCATGCATGCCTCGCTCACACGCTGGCATCCTCCACAGTGTTCCTTTAGGAGGGATCCCGGGGTTTCTGAGACGCTGCCAGTCCACTTGGCTTGTTTGGATCTAAAACACACAAAGGTAATCCTGCCGCTTCACATTGGGCAGACCGCTGTCTTTCCTCCCGATTGCCATGCATAACATCACTAGCACACCAGATTTTCTTGGCTGGAGCCAGTGTTTAGCTACAATACTGACAAACTCCATGCCCCTGTATAAACACACGGACACAGACACATGAAACAGGGATTCATAATTGACAGCAAAAATAGTAGAGAAGGGCTTAGTGTTACATGGAGAAGAAAGTGGTGATAAACAAGCACAAGAATATGGAGACAGAAGGACAAAGATAATAGCACAGCGTTTATTTTCTGAATCAAAAAGTAGCGTAATGCACATAAATGAAGCTGTTTACATGCTCATATTATATATAGTCATACTTTAGCCCGTCAGCATGCAACCAATTTCTAATTAGCAATGAACGGAAAGCGAGGGCCAATGGGAAATAGGTTTGTGCCTATATTCAAAGAAATTTTTTTTGTTGAACTTTTTAAGAGACAGTTGAAATGTAATGCACATGCTTTGGTAACCTAGTTTTCAAGTGTGGTGTATTTGTACCTTGTGGGTCTAGTGTACTTTATAGCTGATATTAATCACATTAGCGTTATTGTTATGGTGATTCTTAGTCTGGGGTGTAGAAGCTGAGAATAATAGAAGGTTTAAACTAGGAGGTTGCCTGCCAGGTTTTATTCTGTACCTCTTAAATGCCCTCTTAAAGACCATGCCCTGGAAAACACCAATTCTGGTCAGAGGAAGTGGGTGTACACAAAGTGCACGCACACACTTCACCAAGGAAAGAGCACACACAGACGTCCTGCAGGTTAACCAATTTTCTATTTCTGTTTCCCAAGTGCATATGTTTATTTGCCCCTCTCACCTGTGTTGCTCCCTGTTCCTCGGTTTGGGAGATGTCAGGTTTTTTTTCCATCAAATCTCACATCCAACATCGAGGTGACCACAAGTCTGTTTTTTTTCTCATGTTTGAGAATATATCCGTCCGGAGGAAAATCCCCCTACGGCCCGGAATGACTGCAAACATAGACCATGGTCAGGGAAATGAGGTAAAGTGTGGTAAACAAGGCGGTAAATAGAAGAGTCGTTGTGCTGGGGCGGGCAGAGCACACCTGGGTGGCTGGGGCTGAGTCAGGTCCTGCTCTCGACCCGGTCTGACTGCCTGCCTGTCTGGCTTGAAGGAGCCGTTGTTTGGGCAGTCCCGGGATAGTGTGTTGTTCCACGGAGTCCAGGTGCAGCTGTCACCACTGAACAGGGTCATGGAAAGGTCTGGTTAGCTTGGCCTGGCCCCCGAAAGGCCCCGATCAGGTCCGCTGATTTGCAGAGTCACCCGGAGCACAAGTATATTTGGTACGATTAGCTACGCCCACTTAATGATACAGTATACGCAGCGTTTGGCTAAATATGTGTTCGAGACTCATTGTTTGCATATCGGACAGGTGTTCATTTGATTCTATGGTCATATGGGGCTTTAATCTGTGGCATTGTTGAACTGTGTTACAGCATACTAATAGACATATCTAATATGTTACTCTCCTCTATGGAAAAGGGTAACAAACTAAAATGTAGAAACACTTTGATCTGGAACTTTGGACAACGCTGAGCTGAATGTTTCTGTGTATGACGTGCAGCAGTTAACTTGTGTGGTGGAAGATTTTGCACAGACAATCGTTAAGTAAGAATCAAAGGCTCTGAGTCAAGTATGTCTTTTCTCCGTTTATTTCCTTGCAAGGGAAAAAGGGTCACAACAGCTACGTGGTCAGTAGACTGTCAAGAACCTCTTTTTTCCTCTCAACACCTCGAGGCAGTTCTTATACCTAAACTTAGATATCGGTGGCGTCAACAGAAACCGTTAACCATCTTGTTGAGTATCTACAGTCAGGATACTGGGAACATCTTATCCATGTAAGACACGTCAGCTCTTTGACCGTATCCTTGCTCTCCCAACATGCTAAAACAAAGGTGGTCATAGACATAACAAACACTTTGTTCAATCTCTACAGCTATGACGCTGGAAACATCTAATCCAAGTGGGAGACATCAGTTCGTATGTCAGGGCCTTTGTGATCTAAGCACTTGCAACTAATAAACTGGTTATACAAATGAAGCATTTAAAAGGGTCACATATCATTTTCCCATTACACTTGACACTGATCCTATCTTTTGACTTGAATGATATAATAAAGTGTGACTGTAATACTTCAACCTGCAATAAGGGTCTACTCTGGGCCACATAGCAGAAACAAGCTGTTAACGCCAATGAATTATCACTTTTTATGTCCACATGCTAAATTTGTTAGCACATAGTGCTATTTTGTACGGCCACCAGTTTCGTGGCAAGTTGAAATTCACTTGGATTTGCGTTTCTTGTGACTTGATGAATGGCCAATATCTCGTTTTGCGGTCTTGGTCGCCAATATATATTTGCATAACTAAATAATAATAATAATAGATAACGTAACTAACCTACGACCACGTCATTATTACACATCGGCCCCAAATCACCTTATTTCAAAGCAGTCATATTAAGTGCTACAGAAAATCCCAATTTCAGATGCAGCATTGTTCAAAATGTTGAGAAACTTTTATAGGGATGAATACAAATGATGCAAGCCAAATAACCTCAAGAGGACATTACTGGTAGTAATGGTGAGCTTTCTGATCACGACATCAAGACCTCTACTGCCCTCTGGTGTTCACAGCATGAAAGAGACCGTATCCCAGCATCCCAGATGCAGAACTGTGCTGTTCAGTTTGAGCCATACTACACCATAAATGTCTGTATAAATATGTGTACCCAAATGCATTGTATATACAGTGGGAAGAACAAGTATTTGATACACTGCCGAATTTGCAGGTTTTCCCCCTTACAAATCAGTAGTAGTTTGTAATTTGTATCATAGGTAGTACTCTTCAACTGTGAGTGAAACCAAAATCCATGAAATCACATTGTATGATTTAAAAATATATATTTTGCAGTATAAGTGTTTGTTACCAACCAGTAAGAATTGCGGCTCTCACAGACCTGTTAGTTTGTCTTTAGTAAGCCCTCCTGTGTCAGGGTTGAGGGTGGAAGGCAGGACTCAAATGCAGACTTCTCCAAACAAAACACTTTAATAGTCAAAAGGTCAAAAACACAGGAACCGGGGGCAAAAGCACATAAGCAAAAAACTACAGAGATCCAGGACGAAAGACTAGAACAAGCTTGGCAAAAGACAATGACGCGACAAGTGACACAGGAGACACACGGCTTAAATACACAAGGGAGGTGCAGGTGATTGGACACAGGTGGAAACTATTAGACAATCACAGGGGACAACGGGACAAGGCAGGAAGTGAAGTTACCCGGGGACACATGTGGCAGAAAACTACAAAATATAACATGAAGTGAACCACACCGTGACACTCCTGTCCTCGAACTTGTTACCTGTATAAAAGACACCTGTCCACACATTCAATCAATCAAACAGACTCCAACCTCACCACAATGGCCAAGACCAGAGAGCTGTGTAAGGACATCAGGAATAACAATGTAGACCTGCACAAGGCTGGGATGGACTACAGGACGACAGACAAGCCGCTTGGTGAGAAGGAAACAACTGTTGGCGCGATTATTAGAAAATGGGAGAAGTTCAAGATGATCACCTTGTGATCAACGATCATGAGGAAGGTGAGTAATCAGCCCAGAACTACACGCCAGGACCTGCTCATTGACCTGAAGAGAACTGGGACCACAGTCTCAATTAAAACCGTACAGTAACATACTACGCCGCAGTGTTAATTTCGTCGACGAAAACTATGACGAAAATTTTGCCATGACTAAAACGAGACTAAGACGTGACGAAAACGATCTTAAAAAATAAAAACTACGACTAAATCTATTCTAACTTTAGTTAACGAGACGAGACGAACATGTTGGTGGTTGACGAAGTCACGATACTTTTCCCCCCTAAATTCGCACGCAGCTAATAGACAACAAACAGGCAAAGTACGGCGGTTATTAACGCGTCATGATGACGTCATCGACGAACCCAGAACGCCAGCGGTGCAGCGGTGGTTCTTGTGCACCGACTACGGACCGCGACGACTATTTTACGCTTCGGCGAGTTTGAATGTGGCTTCGTTAGTTTAGCTCAGCTGTCTCGGTTTAGCTGACTGTTAGCAGGCTGAAGGCTGCTTCACTGAAACATGAAGACTCGTTTAAAGACTGTCGGACCTTTCTGCTCTGTTCTCTGGCGACGGCAGGCAGCGTTTCCTCGGTGGATGAGACGCTCCGTCACAAACGCGTCTAACGTAATAAACTCATTGCAGGTTCTGAAGCCTCAAGTATTTCTACTATAGTTCACGCGCCACATCGTGAGAAGACGCTGTTGAACCGTCTCGGCCACCGTACGTTGGTTACTAAGCAACATAGAGGCGCCACACACGTGACAGGTGGCCGTGTCAAAAGCATTGCAAGTAAACAAAGACAACAAAGTGTTGCGTTTAGATCCCCGGTCCTCATTAAGTTGTTACACTTAAATTGCCTTGCAAATAAATGCTTTGCTATTTGTTAAAATCCAAATCCTTTCATACAATGATGTTTCACATGTCATTTATATTAGCTCACACAAACACTTCAACCATTTGTTCTTGGCCCGGCTCCTCCGTCACATTTTACAACCCACTGTGGCCCGTGAGTCAAAGTTTGCCGACCGCTGCTATAGACCTGTCCTAGGAGGGACATCTGATGTACAACCAAGTACTGCAGGCTGGACTAGTATGCAGTTGTAGACACAAAACAGGGGGTCCCTGGGCCTGAGAAGGGAAGAAAAGGAGTTTAATATGGCTGTTAAATGTGACTAAAACAATTACATTTTAGTGTAGTTTTTGTCGACGAAAACTAGAATAAAACTAAGAAGGATTAAAATGACAATGTGACTAAAACTAATGTGCATTTTTCGTCTTAAGACAAAATCAAAAATAGCTGCCAAAATTAACACTGCTACGCCGTCATGGATTAAAATCCTGCAGCGCACGCAGGGTCCCTCGGCTCAGGCCAGCGCATGTCCAGGCCCGTCTGAAGTTTGCCAAAGCTGGAGGAGCGGCATTGATCCACATCTTTGACCTTCTCGCTGCAGGTAAACCTTAGAATGTATATCGTGTCTTTAAGGATGTTAATCGCCGCGGGTGACTCTTATTGAACGTTTGAAAGCTGGAAGATCTTCACCGTGAATAACAAACTAAAGGCTGCAACGTTGCACGCTAGAATTTGAGGAAGGAAGTTGTTGCAACACGATAAATCAGAAATCAGGAAACATTTATTGCCATGACATGTCAGACATACGGAATAATAATAACATAAGGCCACTTTATCTAACCGTCGTTCCCTTTTAGGGAGTCGGTTGTTGAAAATAAATTAATCACTCAAACGGGAAATGCATCGTGGGAGGAGTTTCACAAACAAGAATCCCTTAGGTTTCGTTTCTTGGGTGGAGTCGCAGCATTTTGCAGAGCAAAAGGAGTTTTACGCCCGCTGGAGGAGCGGCATTGATCCACATCTTTGACCTTCTCGCTGCAGGTAAACCTTAGAATGTATATCGATTTTCCTCCACAACACTTCTCGACCGGCAAACCGACTGCGGAGATCTCCCTCCATGAATCCAACCCGCTTATACAACCCGCCAATGACTGCTTGTATAAGCGGTCATATTTGCGCATTTCTTCCGACAAAAGTTCTTAGATCTGATCCGTTCTCTCGTAAACATTCTTCGTTTTAATAATGGCGGTATCGGGCTGTGAAAGCGGAAATGTGAGACTCCGTAAAATATGCCGTTAGCGCACCAATCACAGCCTTGTGCGCTGCGGGAGGCTTGCGTCGCTTTCGAGGTGTGAAAAGGCACGCAAGGGATACGCAAGGAGCTCTTGCGTCTGCGTTTCCTTACGTCGCTCTGGAAACGCAGAAGCATAAACTATGCTTTAGTGCTGAGCGCCAAACGGCTGCAGCATCGGACTCACAGGTAATGACGCTGTTTAGTGATAAATGAACCACAACATGCGCCGCTGAAAACATTACGTTGCAACTGGTCCGACGTTTCCTAAAAAATAAACAAACAAAACTTTCGATTTCAAAGCCTTGTCGAGCTGTTTACTGACATTTGTCAATTATTAATGAAGAGAGGAGAGAGATAGACACAGACGATTTAAAGGCAGTTTTACTGTTCTACAAATTAGACAAGTTCACTAGTTGTTGTTTTTTTTGTTTTTTTTATTTACGAAATTTGTAGCATAAGGCCAAGAAAAGAGAGACTCCCAAAAATGAACTAAAAAATTACTTAATCAGAGAAGGTAAGCTTTACTTAAAACAATTATTATGCTGTAGTTGTTACTGTTGAATCATAGGTGTAATCAGGAAACATTTATTGCCAAAATATGTCAAATGTACAAGGAATTTCTTGGCAGTTGGTGCGTGACAGTAGAAGGTGTAACTTACCCATTGTTATAAATTTGTCTGCTGACTAATATACTTGAAAAGCCAGCGCATGTCCAGGCCCGTCTGAAGTTTGCCAATGAAGATCCGGATGATCCAGAGGAGGTGTGGGAGAAGGTCATGTGGTCTGAGGAGACGAAAATAGAGCTTTTTTTTGGGCCTAAAGAGTACAACCCCAAGAACATCATCCCAACCGTGAAGCATGGAGGTGGCAACGTCATTCTTTGGGGATGCTTTTCTGCAAAGGGGCAGACTGCACCGTATTGAGGGGAGGATGGACGGGTCCATGTATCGCGAGATCTCTGCCAACAACTTCCTTCCCTCAGTAAGCGAATTGAAGATGGGTCATGGCTCGGTCTTCCAACATGACAACGAGCCAAAACACACAGCCAGGGCAACTAAGGAGTGGCTCCGTAAGAAGCCTCTCATGGTCCTGGAGTGGCCGAGCCCGTCTCCAGACCTGAACCCTGTAGAAAATCTTATCTGTATGGAGGAAATCCCTTCTGCAGTGTGCAAACCTGGTCAAGAACCACAGGACATGATGTTTAATTGCAAACAGGTTTCTGTACAAAATATTAAGTTATGCTTTTCTGATGTATCAAATACTTATGTCATGCAATACACTGATATATGTTTTTTAAATCATGTGATTTTCTGGATTTGGTTTTAGTCAGAGTACCAATGATACAAATTGCAGACTCTTAAATGCTTTGTAAGTGGGGCAGTTCAATACTATGCGGCGCAAGATTTCATATTTAAATGTTGTAGTGGTTTCCTATAATAAGACTGTGGTTTCCAGACTGTTCGTCTTTGCCACTTTATCAAACCGTCGTTCCCTTTTAGGGAGTCTGTTAACCAACGCGACGCAGACCAAAGTCCGTTTTGTTTTCTTTCCAGAGGGTCTGTTGAAAATAAATGAATCCCTCAAACAGGAAATGCATCGTGGGAGGAGTTTCACATACAATCCCTTAGGTTTCGTTTCTTGGGTGGAGTCGCAGCATTTTGCAGAGCAAAAGGAGTTTTACGCCCGCTGGAGGAGCGGCATTGATCCACATCTTTGACCTTCTCGCTGCAGGTAAACCTTAGAATGTATATCGTGTCTTTAAGCATGTTGATCGCCGCGGGTGACTTATTGGGAGGGACGCCGAGTGCGAAAAGTGGTCGGTGGGAGGTTGCTTTGCCAGAGCGGCAGGGTGGTCGGTCGGTTCTTCCGGTAGTCGCTAGTAGGATCCTTGTTCAGTCTTTGACTATCTAGCAGATCAGAGTCTTGAATAAAGTGATGTGTGTCTTACTGCGAGTATTTAGGATTTTTATTTGTGTTCTGGTGGGATTTTCCTCAACACTTCTCGACCGGCAAACCGACTGCGGAGATCTCCCTCCATGAATCAAAGGTCATCCGCGCTATGACGGCTTGTGTAAAGGCTGGCGTTTGCGTCTGCGTTGTTGCGTCAACGCACTCGTTTCAATTCATGGTTCTGCGAGTGTTGCAGAGCAATTCACCGCCAGAACAGGCGGAGTATTTTTGTTGACTATCTAGAGAGTCACGTCTATTTATTAATTTATTTATCATAGACTTTATTGCCCCGTGCGTCGACACATTTGTCCCGTATTTTCCTCCACACCTTTGCGCACCTCTCGACCGGCAAAACTGCGTTTGCGGCGATCTCCCTCCATGAATCCAACCCGCTTATACAACCTGCCAATGACTGCTTGTATAAGCGGTCATATTTGCGCATTTCTTCCGACAAAAGTTCTTGAATCTGATCCGTTCTCTCGTAAACATTCTTCGTTTTTAATAATGGCGGTATCGGGCTATGAAACCGGAAATGTGAGACTCCGTAAAAGATGCAGTTAGCGGACCAATCGCAGCCTTGTGCGCTGCGGGAGGCTTGCGTCGCTTTCGAGGTGTGAAAAGGCACGCAAGGCACGTCGCTCTGAAAACGCAGAAGCATAAACTATGCTTTAGTGCTGAGGGCCAAACGGCTGCAGCATCGCACTCACAGGTAATGACGCTGTTTAGTGATAAATGAACCACAACATGCGCCGCTGAAAACATTACGTTGCAACTGGTCCGACGTTTCCTAAAAAATAAACAAACAACTTCCGATTTCAAAGCCTTGTCGAGCTGTTTACTGACATTTGTCAATTATTAATGAAGAGAGGAGAGAGAGACAGACTATTTAAAGGCAGTTTTACTGTTCTACAAATTAGACAAGTTCCCTAGTTTTGTAGCATAATGCGAAGAAAAGACTCCAAAAAATGGGTTTATTTATTCACCATTACTGAATCAGAAGGTAAGCTTTACTTAAAACAATTATTATGCTGTAGTTTTTACTGTTGAATCATAGGTAGTGTAATCAGGAAACATTTATTGCCAAATTATGTCAAATGTACAAGGAATTTGTCTTGGCGGTTGGTGCGTGACAGTAGAAGGTGTAACTTACCCATTGTTATATATTTGTCTGCTGACTAATTTACTTGAATTTAAACAATTTGGGTAATTACTACCCTCGTGTGTGTGTGTGTGTGTGTGTACAATAAGTCGGGTGTATGACATGTCAGCTGAGAAGACGACTGCTCAGGATATGAAACCTGTGTGACGTGTATGTCCGTTGTCCGGAAGGCTGCTCCGTGTCTCCATAATGATCAGATGTATGTCTCAGGATAAAGAACATGATGGGCCTTGTACAATGAGATCATTGTGTGCATGACTTATCTGTGTCAAACATGTAAACATTAAATGCCCGTTTTTTGTTGATTTTACACCGGTGTGTAAAGTATTAATTTTTACATGTGTGAGAACGTCACAGTAGTCAGAATCATTGACGAAGTACAGCCTCTCGTACCTTATTGCTTAAGTAACGTATGGTGGTGGTGACAAGATTACTATTTTAATTTAGTGAAATGTGATTCTTTGAAGTTGCAGGGGTTGATTTATAACGTGATTATTTCTTTAACTTTCAGTTTCCGTTCGTCGTCATGAATGATTTTGTTCGGGATAAATTAACTGAATGGGGTCTCCTCGAGTGGATAGAAACATTTGAAGGTAAAGTATTACCATGCCTCTTTTTTAGACTACAGATGTCAGTGGCGGCTGGTGGAAAATGTTCAAGGTGGGGCCCAGAATGACTTAAAAGAAAACCATAACGGTATCAAAAACTGCAATACTGATTTGTAGTTCAATATTCAACATTTATTGCAACAGAAGAAGTAGAAGTATGAAGTAAATATAACTAACAATCTTGAGATTGCCCCCAGCTATGACAAGAAGGGACGTGCAATACAAGCCTATATTTTGCACAGATATGAGTATTTTACAAATATTACTGGGTACATTCCATATTTATAAAAAACAAATTGACTTTTTCTACAATTTAATATTATCTTTTCTTTTTATTTGGGGAGGGGGGAGGCGCAAAGAGGGGCGCTCCAGGTGTTGCGACACCCCTTTGCCCACTATAGGGAAACAATTAATTTCTCTGTTCAGAGAATACAAAAGCACCAAAAAGAAACATGGACATTTTAGAGACACATTAACTAAGCCAAGTAACTGCTTGTAAACAATTTACTTAACTCCTATTTCACTCTTTCTATAGTAGATTTATAAAGAATTTGGAGTTTTATTTTTGATTTACTGAGATTAAACTTTGAATTTTTTAAATGCAGAAGAAGGCGTTGATGAAGAAAGTTTTTACTCTCTGGAGGATCAAGAAATTGCCGAATTGATCCCAAAAGTCGGACCACGATCAAGATTCAAGAAGAGACTGAAGTTGTTGAAGGTAATGTTCTGTACCGTGAACAGAATTTACATAAATACTTTAGGAGCTTAGAATTGATTACGCATCATTGATATTCATAGCTCATAAACAATAATAGCGTGTGCTTGAATTTTAACATTTATTTACTATTTTGGATTTAGAAGGAGCAAAACACAGCAAATCCAGATACAGCTGATGCGCCTGCTCAAGTAAGTTGAATAAAGTTTCAAGCACTCGGGTATCATTTTATTATGAACATTTTTTTAATTTATTTTAAAACCCAAATGTCCACGTTCACCCTCAGGTCATTCCGTCCCCCAGTGGAACAAGTAATGAAGGTGAGATGCACTTTATCTTATTGATTGCATGTTGTGTTCATGGACGTTTTTACCATTTTGCTTTGACTCGGCAACTATATCAAGACAGTGTCTTAATATTGTGAGAGGCAGATGCAACAAACTTTTTTTTTTTTTTCCACCCACCAAAAATTCCCAATAAGGAAAGAGAAAGTCTGATCTCCAGGGCGAGTCCAATCAACAGCAATCACCGACTAAAAAAAAACGCCTTGCCAAAGGACCAGGAGCCTACTCAGGTATTTATAATACTTTCCAAACAATGACAACCTCCAACTTACCAAAGGGGTTAATATTTCTATGTAATAACATTTTTACTTAGTTTACTTACCGAGCAAATGTCTGTTTCTAGATCTTGGTCAGTCAACACATTCATGCAGGTATCCATAGCAACTATGCTATGCTTCAAAGTAAAGACCCTAACTGTGGCCTTTAACTGTATGATGTTTTAAGAGCAAGACCAGGGTTTATCCTTTGATAATAAACCAAGGTAGGATCCTGATGATCCACTCTGGAGCATCCTAAATAGACCTGGCAGAGAAAGTTCATCTTACGCTATAGCTTCTCCCCTCATTGTGCATTACAGCTTACTCTATTCACTGGTTCATGGTTCCTGCTGAATAGTTCTTTATATTTACTCTGACAGAAGAAATCATACAGGCAGATGTGGAAAACATAATGAGATGTGTCCTAAAGAAAATACCTGACCAAGGAAACAACCTGAACGACTTCCTGAGGTAAGAAATAAATTTACTACATTTTCATATCAATATATTATCTGGCCTTGGTTCCACTCCAGGGGCCATATTATGACAATTTCAGACAAGTATCTATCAGGAGAAAAGTAATTCAGTAAATATACTGGTAAAATATGCTGTGGAGGCCTGTGCCTAGATGGATCTACTTCTGATCTTGACACATTGTGTGAGTGTATTTGTTTTTTTTAAACAAATAAAATAACCCACACTTGTGCACAACAGGAGAAAAATCCATGATTTGAAGACTGACAAGAGGGAGGTGGTTGGTGTCTTTGGCCAAACCGGAGCTGGAAAGAGCTCTTTGATAAATGCTGTCATTGGATTGAAGAAGTTCTTGCCCTCTGGAAGCATCAGTGCATGTACATCAGTCTCGATTAAAGTGGAGGCTAACATGCAGAACTCAAACTACGAGGCGATCATTGAGTTTATTACAAAAGAGGTAAAATGAGCTTAGTATGTTTACGTAAAGCTATTTTACCTATTTTAAAAGATGATGTGGCTTTATAAATACAGGTGTAGATTACACAGCATGCCATTTAATTTGAAGTTTTTTTTTTTTTTCTATTTCATTTAGGAGTGGAGAGATGAGTTGTGGTTCTCAATAAACTTTCGGTTGGAAGATGAGGAAGATGACTCAGAATATAGGGACATTGATGAAAAGCTGTCAGCGCTGTATGGAGAAGACTGGAAAGAAAAATCTGACCTCATGGATGCCAAATATTTCAAAGAGATCCCCGAATTTCTCCTTTCCAAGGAGAAGATTTTGACAACTGATAAAGTAAGACTAAACATTCTGTATCACTTCATAAAAAGCCTTCTGTTGTGACCGACAATAGTTTGACAAAAGTAAAAATAAAATCAATGTGATGTGAAGATGTACCTTTTCATAATCATGAAGACATTTGTGTACCAGTAACTGGATACAATAGGGGGGCGCGCTGAGTCGTAGAGCCGGGATCGGCGTCAGGCACAAGTCGTGAAGCCTGTACTGACTGAGTCGGGGAACGGCGCCAAGAGTCTTAGAGCAGGGACTCGAGTCGGGCTTCGTGGAGCCGGTGTTGGAGTCGGGGACAGGCTTCGTCGAACGGGAGGTCGCTGCGGTTAAGTGGGAACGGGGATGCGCTGTTTCTTCTAACCAGGGCTCCTTCGCGTGGGGTTGAAGTCCCGGAGGCAAGCTTCTTGATAGCTCCTGGGACCGAAAACTTCTGCCAAAACGGGCTCCTCACATCCAAGTAATCCAAATGGTCTGTACTCTGGGAACGAGTCTGCTGAGTCCTTAGATGTGGCGGCAAATCACTGTCAAAATTTGAGAGCGCAAATCAGGTTTATGTGCGCGAGCAAAAGTTCGTCGCGCGCGAGATATTTGCCCCCTCGTGAAACGTGAACTTCCTCGTTCGCAAGGTTGGTCTCTGCTCGCGCTCGAAGGTGTTTTCTACGCGCTCGCTGTTTTTCTTTTTGACAGTAAGGGGGCGGAGCCAGTCACCATGGACTCTACATCTGATTGGTTACAAACCCCGGCATTCACACAACTATAGAAGCTCATTTCCGCACTGGAGAAAGGGGAAAGAAAGTCGAAATTATGAGATAAAACGTTGTCAAAAAACAAACGACACCTTTATGTAACCGCAGTGGACCGTAGATGACAACCATAATTTACCATCTTTACCGGCACATTAGACCGGTCTGTGAGCTGGACGCATTGCTCCTGTCAGTCTGAATCTGAATATCTTGCCAACTTTACCGAACTATGAAGGAGCCTGCGCATATCTTGTATATCACATTAACTACAACCTCATAATTTTTTTTTCCAAAAAGTCGATCCGTATTGAAAGTCGGCAAGATATTCACAGATTCTGACTTTTTTTCCCCCGGTATTTTACAAATACGGACCGTCTGCATGGTGGACGCATTGCTCTTAATGTGCCGGTAATGATGGTAAATTATATTATAGCTGGTTGTCATCTACGGTCCACTACGATTACCGAAGGGGGGCGTTTGTTGTTTGTTAAAGTTTTATCTCATAATTTTGACTTTCTATCCCGTTACGTCCAGTCGCTAGGGGGAGACGGACGCATACATAAACCCAGACTTTTTTGTTGGGTGGAAAAGAATATTTATTCTTGGAGACAAGAATCAAACACAAGAGCGTACAAACTGAGGGAAGGGGCCGGGGGTGCCGTGTAAATCAAAAACCGAATAGAACAAAAGGAGACCTTCAGAAGGAAGACTATGACAAAACCAACAAGTAACAAAAATCCTTACTTACATTAACCAAAACATAAAGATACATCCCAACGGCACCCCTGCTCCTAATGTGGCTAACACACGTTTTGTGAGGTGCAGTGTTTCAGTGGTGCCTGGCCCTGGCCCTCTTCCTCGCTCTCACAGTCACTCTCTGGATCTGGTAGCCGCCCCCAGCTGCAATTCGTTTGGCCTTTTAAGCCTGGCGCGCACTCCAATGCCCTCTTCTGGTTGGCTGGGAGTCGTCCAGGCGGATCCGCTTCGGTCTTCCCTCTGCGTCGTGGGAGGTTGCAGCCTGACTCCCTGTTCACCTGAGGTTGCCGTCGGCAGCCGTAACACCCCCTCCCATAAACACAACCTCCCAGTTATTTAACACATCACACAAATACCTTACTGTAACCGGGACAATGCGTCAGCCACTATGTTATCAGACCCTTTCTTGTGGCAGATCTCCAAGTGGTAGTCCTGCACAATCAGGGCCCATCGCATCAAGCGCTGATTATGGTTGTACATGCGGGAGAGAAAAACCAGAGGGTTATGATCGGTATAAACAACAATTGGCAGGGAGCTGGATCGAACATACACCTCGAAGTGCTGTAAGGCCAACAGCAAAGCAAGTGTCTCCTTCTCAATGGTGGAGTAGTTAAGTTGAGGCTTAGTAAACTTCCTGGAAAAATAGCATATTGGATGATCTATTCCCTCCGCATCTTCCTGTAGGAGAACCGCTCCAGCCCCCACGCCGCTGGCGTCCACCTCAAGCTTGAACGGCTTGGCAAAATCGGGAGCTGTTAGCACAGGGGCGTGACAGAGGAGGGCCTTGAGGCTGCCAAAGGCGATCTGACAGTCTGTAGACCACACAAACTCTACTTTAGGGCTCAATAACCGAGTTAATGGCTGGGCAATAGTCGAAAAGTTACGGCAGAAAGCTCTGTAGTATCCTGCCAGTCCAAGGAACGACCGTAGCGCTTTACGCGTAGTGGGGGCGGGACAACCTGAAATGGCACTTATTTTTGCTTCTACAGGGCGCACCTGTCCCTGCCCTACCTGTCTTCCTAAATAGGTGACGGTCGCTTTACCGAACTCACATTTTGCCAAATTCAACGTGAGGTTGGCTTGGGCGAGTCTGCGGAAGACCTGCTCCAAGATGCGCAGGTGCTCCTCCCACGTCTCTGTGTACACAATTAAGTCATCCAAATATGCGTTACAATTAGTTACCCCTGCTAACACGGTATTAACTAAACGCTGGAATGTGGCAGGTGCGTTGCACATGCCAAACGCCATTACCTTGTACTGCGCAAAATGGTCAGGAGTAACAAACGCCGAAATCACCGCTGCACGGTCGGTCAAGGGTACCTGCCAGTAACCTTTTAACAGGTCAAGTTTGCTTACAAACTTAGCATTCCCCAGATTATCGATACAATCTTCCATTCTCGGTAATGGGTACGAGTCGCGCACTGTAACAGAATTCACTTTACGGAAATCGGTAATGAACCGCGGCGAGCCGTCGGGCTTAGCCTCCACAATACAGGGTGAACTCCACGAACTAGAACTGGGTTCAGCAAACCCATTTTCAAGAAGATATTGCACTTCCCCTTTCATCAGTTCTCGCTTAGCTTGATTGGCACGATACGGATGTTGTTTTATCGGACGCGGGTCGGTCAGCTCAATATCATGTTTTACTAAAGTTGTTGTGGTCGGTACATCACTAAACACGCCGGTAGCCCTACATGTTTCGACAAGGTCGATTACACCCTGTCTATGCTCAACAGGTAAATGTAGTAGCCGGGAAGGTAACTGCGCTATGGCTTCCGAATTAGGGAGTGTAGTGCCCAACTGGACTGGATGACGCGGCCGCAAATCATCACAGGCTTGAGGAAGCGCAGCATCAGTTACGATCAAAGCGGCGCTCCGAGGAGGCGAAACAGTGAGGGGCGGCTTTGGATTGTCCAAAGAGCCGCTTTTATCACTCTCTCTACGTTGGTATAACTTTAGCATGTTGATATGACAGACGCGCGTTTTTCTCCTTCGCTCAGGAGTATTGAGAATGTAGTCCGTGTCACTGATGCGTTCACGGACTGCATACGGGCCGGTAAATTTGGAGGAGAGCGCAGAGACAGGTGTAGGCTGTAACGCCAATACTAAATCACCAGGTTGAAAACGGCGAGTTACAGCTGAACGGTCATAGTGACGCTTCATCACTTCTTGCGAACCGGAAAGTGCCTGTTTAGCGAGTGTATTAGCGACATGTAGTCGCTCACGGAAGTGGCGGACATAATCCAATACGTTTTTGGCCGTTGACGACTTTAGCGACATGAACTGGTCATGTAACGTTTTTAGAGGACCACGGGGCGTATGCCCAAATACGAGCTGCGCGGGACTGAACCCCAGGGACTCCTGAACGGCTTCACGCGCTGCAAACAAAACAAACGGAACCCCATCATCCCAATTAGGTCCGTTTTCCAAACAATACTTACGGAGCATGGACTTGAGCGTCTGATGCCATCGCTCTAGAGCCCCCTGTGACTCGGGGTGATAAGCAGAAGAAACAGCATGTTTAACATTTAGTGTGGCAAGCACCTGTTTAAAAATTTTGGACTGAAAATTCGTACCTTGGTCTGACTGAATTACCCGGGGTAGGCCGAAGGTAGAAAAGAATTTCGTGAGGGATTTCACTATCATTTTGGCCGTAATGTTACGAAGTGGGATCGCCTCAGGAAAACGGGTTTCCGCGCACATAATGGTAAGCAAGTATTGGTTTCCACTTTTCGTGCGAGGTAAGGGGCCCACACAGTCTATTAGCACGCGATCGAATGGCTCTTCAATTATAGGAATACGATGCAGAGGCGCGGGAGAGATTGTTTGGTTTGGCTTACCTGCTACTTGACATGTGTGGCAACTACGGCAGAACTTTGCGACATCCGCCTTCAACCCTGGCCAAAAGAAGTGTTTTAGGACAAGCTGGTACGTTTTTGTGACACCTAAGTGGCCCGACCATTTACTTTCATGTGCGACTGACAGCACATGTTGTCTATAGACCGTAGGCATCACAATCTGGTACACGACATTCCAATCTGCATCAGTATCTGGGAGAGGGGTCCATCTGCGCACTAGGACATCTTTATCTAGTATAAAGGCTACTTTCTCCCCACTTGCTTTACCGTTGTCACTCACCACCCTTCGGAAACAACGCTGTAGTGTTGGATCCTCTCTCTGTGCGCTCGCCAGGCGCCCGCGCGTAACTGGAAGCACATTTGGGCTGGATGGACCGCTGGTTTCACCGTCAGGCACAGATTGCACAGCGATCGGCTCCTCCGCTTCCTCAAGCTCTGTCCCTCCAGAAAACATGGGCATAAGTATACTGTCAGTTAGTGAGACTTCTGACCCATCATCCCCCTGCTGATGCAACCGTGCACGCGCACGTGTGAGTACACACGCCGGGAACACCGGGGAAGTTGCCAAAGGACCGGTGCTGGACGGAGGTGAATCCAGCACCTCTAACGTAGGAGTTACCTTACCTCCAGCAATGTCGTTCCCCACTAAAAGTATGACACCTTGAATTGGCAGAGCGGCACACACAGCGACAGGGAAGAACCCTGTAACTAAATCAGATTCTATCTGAACGTTGTGTACAGGACGGGGAATGTATCCCATTTCAATGCCGCGGAGCACCGCACCAAACCCACAAGCTGATTTCTCGGAAAAAGGTAACGCCGACGCCAAAATAACCGACTGGGAACATGCGGTGTCCCTTAGCACCTGGACAGAGCGCTGATCTTCAGTCATGCCGGTGAGGGAGATACGTGCGTCAAAGACAAATGGTTTGAAACAGGCATCCACGTCTTGACATTTCTCCCGTTCAGTCTTTGTTTGTTTAGCTTTAATCAACCCAATGCCCTTAGGCTGGACAAACCGCGAAGATTGTTCTTTACGTTTCAAAGCCGGACAGGCAGCAATCACATGACCTCCCAGATGGCAGTAGAAACATTTCCTTTCCTCTTTTTCTGCACTTGGTGTTTTTCGGACAGAGGGTGGCGAACCAGGGACACGACGTGGTCTGTCAGGGGCAGGGGAAAAGGTAGTTTTGTGAATCAACACATACTCATCCGCTAAAATTGCTGCAGCAGTTAAAGTTGTTACTTTCTGCTCATTTAAATAGACAACAATGCGCTCGGGCAGGCACTTCTTGAAGTCCTCTACCAGGAGTAGTCCTCTCAGGGAATGGAAGTTATCTGCCGAGCAGGCAGCGGCCCACTTATCAAATAGCACACCCTTCTCTCGGGCAAACTCCGTATAAGTCTGATTCGGTGACTTCCTATGACTCCTAAACTTCTGCCGATATGCCTCGGGGACTAGTTCGTAAATGCGCAGAATAGCAGACTTCACAGACTCATAACTTAAACTCTCTTCTAAAGAGAGTGCAGCCATGGCTTCCTGGGCCTTGCCATGGAGTTTACACTGCAGTAACAGAGCCCAAACCTCAGTCGGCCAATGCAGAGCAACTGCAATGCGTTCAAATACACTAAAGTACGAGTCCACCTCAGATTCCCGGAACAAGGGCACTAGAGCAATATTCTTGCTAACATCAAAAGCCGTGGACATTGCACTGGCAGAATTTTGGGTGGAGGAGGTGGTCGGTGACATACCTGGAGCAGTAGCAGGTAGACTTCCCGCGCCTTGCGACTTGTCAAGCTCCAGCTTCCGTAACTTCACAGCCATATCAGCGTCTACCTCCAACTTCCTCATTTCCAGTTGATGTTGCATGTGCTGTTTCCGTTCACGTTCTTGAGCCTCCAGCTGGAGACGGGCCAGGCGAACCTTTACACGGGCCTCATCTCTTGAACGAGCACTGCTTTCTGGGGATGGGTCATAACGTGGCAGCGTGACGGGTGTTTTTAACCCTCCACCTACCTCGCCTTCCATTCTGGAGACGGCGTGTGGCTTAAGGGCGCCCACCCCCTCTGGCTCGGCTGAGACAGCCACAGGAAGCGTTTTTATTTCAGCTTCCATAGGTATTTCAATCACCCCACTCTCCACCAGGTTAGCAATGACTAACGATTTCAGATCTCTCTTTAGCATAGCTTTAGTTACCGGAATGTGAAGGTGACTCGCTACAATAAGCAATTCATCTTTTCTACACAGATTTATTGTTGAAAGAGTTGGATTGGCTAGGAATGCCTCCAAGTCAAAACGCTCCGAAGCCATAACAACACGTCACCTAGGCGGCTAGACCAGGTTACCAGCTGATGTTTACTTACCCTCCTCGAATAAATATCCTTTTCTTTTTTTTTCTTCCCAGGAACCCTTTAAATTTATCCCGGACGAGCCCCCATTTATGTTACGTCCAGTCGCTAGGGGGAGACGGACGCATACATAAACCCAGACTTTTTTGTTGGGTGGAAAAGAATATTTATTCTTGGAGACAAGAATCAAACACAAGAGCGTACAAACTGAGGGAAGGGGCCGGGGGTGCCGTGTAAATCAAAAACCGAATAGAACAAAAGGAGACCTTCAGAAGGAAGACTATGACAAAACCAACAAGTAACAAAAATCCTTACTTACATTAACCAAAACATAAAGATACATCCCAACGGCACCCCTGCTCCTAATGTGGCTAACACACGTTTTGTGAGGTGCAGTGTTTCAGTGGTGCCTGGCCCTGGCCCTCTTCCTCGCTCTCACAGTCACTCTCTGGATCTGGTAGCCGCCCCCAGCTGCAATTCGTTTGGCCTTTTAAGCCTGGCGCGCACTCCAATGCCCTCTTCTGGTTGGCTGGGAGTCGTCCAGGCGGATCCGCTTCGGTCTTCCCTCTGCGTCGTGGGAGGTTGCAGCCTGACTCCCTGTTCACCTGAGGTTGCCGTCGGCAGCCGTAACACCCCTTACATTAGTGCGGAAATGGGCTTCTATAGCTGTGTGAATGCATCACTCCAGCCAATCCTCAGATGTAGAGACCATGGTGACTGGCTCCGCCCCCTTACTGTCAAAAAGAACAACAGCGAGCGCGTAGAAAACGCCTTCGAGCGCGAGCAGAGACTAACCTCGCGAGCAGAGACTGACCTCGCTGGCGAGGAAGTTCATGTTTCGCGAGGGAGCAAATAGCTTGCGCGAGACGGAGATTTGCTCGCGGACAGGGCTGTAGTGGAGGGTAAACGCACGTAAACGCCGTTTACGCACCTCTGGAATTTTGGAAAGAGCGTTTACGCACCTCAAAGTTCCCTGTGCCTTGTATTGAATAATCCGAAATAAACTTGGTGTAATTTTAAAATATCTAAGACCATGTTTCCTATTGTTGAACATATAAACGCCGTAGTCTGAATCATTTTCATCTGCGCTGTATTGTGGTCTGTGACCATCCAATCAGTGCCTTGCGGCTGCAGCAGCGACACCAATCAGGATCCAGGAGGTGTGTAAAGACATACACGTTGTGGATCAGCCCAGTGGTTCCCAACCTTTTTTACCTCACGGTTTCATGTCAGACAATATTTCGCGGTCCGGTCGAGAAGGTCCGACGGGAGGGTGGGGGGGTGTAGTAGTCGCAGGCTCTGTGTTCGCTGGTCGTGCACGATAAAAGGACACAAACGCCTGGTGACGAGCGCACATAATTAGGAGAAAATCCGGTCAATTTTCAAAATTATATATATATATATATATATATATTTCTGTGGTGCGGCCCGGTACCGGTCTGGGACCACTGGATTAGCCTGCCTGCCTACCTGTTCGGAATGGATTGCCGCCGGTAATTAGCAATGGATATCAGGTGATATTTGAAGAGACCATCGAGTCTCTACAAAGGGACAAACGCTATTAATAACGTGCTTTAAAATACGATGATGCAGGTAACAAACCAGCCTTCCCGGTCCCATTTAAATAAGCCTAATAAAATGAGTAATTATCCTCACGGCAGAGCCTCCCCTCTCATCATGTCATCATCTTCTGCATCATGTCCTGCTCTCGTGACAGGGTAGAACATTCAATGATGCAACAATGGACAAATGATACACGGGACGTGCCAGACAATAACATGGGATGACAGGACAAGGCAGGAAGTGAAGTTAACTCAGGGACACAAGAGGCAAAAAACTACAAAATAAAACGGGAAACAAACCCAAACAAGTACTTATCCCTCACTTTTTCTCTGCATTGAAAAAATCAATGGTTTTGATATAGTAACTTGCTAAATCAAGACAAAACTTAGGTACCCTTAATGAAATATATATAATCATTGCTCTCTTAACTCTTTCTCATGTAAAGTTAATCATCAAACTGGAGGCGGCCAGTTTTAGATTTTTTTTGCAATTAATAAAGCAGTTTAAAGTTTGAGTCTGTTGTTTTGACTGAAATTGCCTGATGTTGCCTTGAACTCATTTTACTATTTATTGCAGGCCAAAGACTTACCTGAAAAATTAATCAGATACACAAGAACCAAACAAGATAACGCAGAAGATAAAGGCACAAAGAGGTGGTATTGGCCGCTAGTGAAGTGTGTGACCATCAAGGTGCCAAACGCTGATCTTCTTAAGCATGTCACACTCGTGGATCTTCCTGGAAGTGGGGACAGTAACAAGAGCAGAGACAAGATTTGGAAAACGGTAATTTATCACATGCAATACTTTTTATTGTGTGTTACTGTGTTGTCTACAAACTGTGACTTTGTATTCACGAATTCATACTGCAAACTGTGTATTATTGTAAAGTGCTGATAACCATCATAATAAACTTGCTGTCATATCCGTTCAGGTCGTTGGAAGTTGTTCCACTATCTGGATCGTGGCTGACATTAATCGAGCAGCATCAGACAAAGAAGCCTGGGATATCCTGAAAGATGCCTGCAGCTACATGGGAAATGGTGGCCAGTGTAATCAGATTCACTTCATCTGCACCAAATCTGATCCTCATTCAGATGCAGACGATACGTAAGTGGTTTAAAATTCCAAAAGTACATATACATATATGTTAAAGTTGTAAGTAGTTATGAAACAATCTCAATAATACTTCTGATGCGTCTATCTGACCAATATTATAAATAGACCATCAGCGTGAAGATTGTTGATTTTCTACATATTCATTCTTAATGCTGCACATAATTTTTGGTCAGTTCTTCCAAGGAAATTCCTTTTAGAAATCAATAACTTCGTCCACAGTTAACACAACTAACCAATCTGAAATAGTATTCTGTAACATTGTATTTGTTATTAACAACTCACCTATTGATAGCATTGAGATCCCAGGACTTTAAAATAGTAATGCATGATTGAATGGTGGATTATATAGTTACAGCTACAGGTTGAATAGAAATCTTTAAGACTTTTATTTTGATGAAGAAAATTTAAGGTTTCAGTTCTCCAAAAACTGTTTGAGGTGGAAATTAATGGGAACGTTTTTGTTTAGTTCAAAAGCTGGTATTCGTGATTTCATCTTAAAAAGAAACCAGCAAGCCAAAGCCAAAGTGAAACAGGAATTTAACCAACTAAATGAGGTTAAGGTGAGTATTGCTGTATGCCAGAAAGTTTCACACGTTGTCTATAGCTACAAGCTCAACTTAAAACCAGAACGTTTTCTTTTCAGAAACACTTCAGTAATGAAAGTTTCGAACACAGTTTCAAGATCTTCACAGTGAGCTCCGTAGAGTTTCTGAACCCGAAACATCTAAATAAAGAACAAACTGGTGAGTGTAGTCTCCATATATGAGCGCATTTTACTTTCCTGTAATACAACAAATTAAATGAATAATTGGATATTGGAATTACACTTTTTTACAGAAATACCCAAACTTCAGGAGTTCCTGCAGGAGCTCAATGACTGTCACCGAGAGACGTTGAACTACGTGTCCGGAGCCCGCGGGATTCTCTCTCTGATTCAAGGGGCCAGCCACAGAGGAGGGGTAAGATGAAGTGATCACATCTTTCTTTGACTTTAATCATCATTCATATTCACAGAATATAATGAGAAAACACTGTTGAGTAAAAGACAGACGTCCTAAAGGTGTTCCAAACATTTTCACATTTTATACCAATCAAGTCAGTTGTATCCCTGAATTGTTTTCCTTCAGAGAGGCTGCATAAACAAAGTAATTTAAGGGGGGTCTCACTCAAAAAGTAACTTTATGGTTTCATTGCTTTGAATGCTGAATGTGTTGTTGTTTATTACAGTCTGAGATAAAGAAAGATGTGTGCACAATCCTTGAAGAAAAGATGACAGATGAACTTGAAAAAGTTCATAAACAAATGGAAGAAACTTACCAGGCTTTTGAAAAGTGCCTCAGTGCGGGAGTTGAAAAATCTGAAAGTCACTGTGAAAGAGCCTTGGAGTCGGTGATAAATCCTGTAAGTATATAAATTAAGACTTTAACAGTATTAATACATCATTGTAACGGTTGTTGCACTTCACATTGTTGAAATGTTTATTTTTCGGTTTGGTTTCAAAGAGAAAACCAGGAGGTGGTTTCCACAAGACATTGCGGTGTTTAGTCGAGCACAATGGCATCCAAAACGCAGGAAGAAAAAAAAATAAAAAAAAGAAGAAACAAATAAACCTGAACATGGCGTTATCTTCATACCTGACTGAGAGCATCGATGAGAAATTCAAGGAGACCTTCCCGTAAGAAATAACTTGATAAAGACATAAACCCTGTGCAGGCTGGTTGTACAAACTATCCCTGGAATTAATAGTTCATACATTATGCAGTAATAACAGTTATGTGATATAATACATACATTTATATTACTTTATTGAAGTACAAACTTGTCAATGCTGTTCATGAAACTTTTCAACTTGTTAAAAATTTTCAGAAATGAAGTAAATTGTGGACCATTCAACGGAAAACTCAATTCGTTTTCACTTGACACAAAGAGGATGAAAATGAATCCAGAGTACAAAGATGTGGAACTTCAACTGGAGTTTCTCAATGCAGAGGTAAAGGAAGAGAAGTGTACCATTAGTCCACTGTGTAGCTGTAAGTGCAGGTCAGAAAGGCCTAAGTAGAAGGGTGAGAAGAGAGGAGACACAAGAGGAGCCTGATTTTTATATTATCTTGATTGTATTCAAAACATGTGGATCTTTTCATATTCTCTCTCTCTCTCAGGAAATTAAGATGAAGAAGAAACTCGTCAAAATCATCCGCGAACGTAAGAAAACGATCTACAGCAGTCTGATGACAACAGTTGAGGAATCAATGCAGAAATGCTATGACGGTACGATAAAAGATCAGGACATGTAAAACCTGACACTTTCAATGTGCACATTATTTTTTGACAAATGTTTTCTGTTTTATTGTAGATGCAAAAGGAATTCGAGGAAAACACTCGCTGAATAACATGAGAGAAACGATGAGGAAGCACGTTCATGATTCAAAAAACATCATGTTTAAGAATGCTAGAAAGGTCATGTTGAACCAGCTGAGAGAGTTAAGGGTTTGTAACATTTTATAATGCGTCAAAAAAAATCAAGAATATGCATCTTTTTTGATAGTTCTTTTGCACTAAAACTGTGCACGCCACACTTCACCCTTTACATTATTCAGTCATTAGTGTCTGAAATACATATAATCTGTGAGTGATGAAGATATTTATAATAATTTAGGACGACATCCTGAAGGACCTGAAAGAGACGATGCAGGAATCAATCGAGCTGTCGCTCAAGACAGACGGTTACTCAATCCCAGGTAAAGGCAACAAAATAAAAACATGATAATCTCTAAAAATACAAAATATTTGTAAACAAATTTCCAATTGTGTGAACTTGATGTTAACATTATGTTTTTTTAGATGTTGCAGAGGAGCTTAATATGGTGAAGAACCACTATAAAGGACTGAAGGGAAGCGCAGAAGACGACCAGTAGTTTGGTAAAAGCTGTTAAAATATCTACATGATGACTCCGTATTGAGCTGTTCTGAATAACTCTGATGTTCCTTTAATCACTAGTTCGTCCGCCAAGCTGATGAGCAGCTGATGAGCAGCTGAAGAGCCCGAACCCCTGGAGACGTGAGGCCTCTGGATTTGGTCTCAACCATTTTCATCAACTCATCCTATTACAATTCTCTTTGATGTGTACTTTGAATTAGCTTGTGGTAATACATATTCATAGCGATTTGAGATATTATATGTTCATGTGGCCTTTTAGTTTTTAAATGATTAAAGTTTGGACTTTGACAGAAGCTGTGTGTGGGGGGGGGGGAGCAGGATGTCACATTATGGTTTAAGACTACAGCTCTCAGCCACCTATGATTACCAGTTTAATGATTTACTTTTTTCTTCTTGACTATATATCTCTAATACATATGTTTTATGTCCAATTTTTAATTGTAGTTTAGCAGTTGGTATTGAAATTAAAATGATTTCATGGGTGTTTAACATAAATCCTGAACATTGGTCTGTGTGTACTGTGTGTTGAGCGTGGCAACATTTTTAGGCTTTTTAAAGATTTTTTTCTTTCATTTTCAAAGATAAAACTTGATTGCTGCAAAATAATGTTTAAATGTGTTAATTGATGTATCAAAAATTGGATGGAACTAGATGATTGTAATCAACCAACAAGCATATCTGGTTTCTTATTATTTAGTGAATAATTGTTTTGTCTTAATATACATTCTACGTGCATTGATAGTATTTTGCACGGTAAACTCTCAAATAAAGTTAATTTTCAAAGTGTCACGTGGGCTTCTTTGTTATTCATGTTTTAAAAGGATCTTAAAGCTTCTTATGTTCTCTCTAAATCACTCTCATTATGACATCATTGGATGGAATTAGATGACAGTAATCAACCAACTCGCCTTTTTGGTTTCTTATTATTTGGAAGACAAAACAATTATTCACTAAAGTGTCACATGGGCTTCTTTGTTATTCATGTTCCAAAAGGATCTTGACGCTTCTTTATGTTGTTCTTAACATTACTCTTATTATAAGATCAACAAATTATTTTCTAACACAAATCTACATTACACTTCCCAAATACTAAATCTATATTTTAAAGGTGTGATAAATTCTAACATAGTACTTTATACCTGTTAGTAGACGTGTACCTTGGAAAGTGAATTGTGAAGCAGCAGTGTAAACCTCCTATTTCTGCCAATGTTAAATAGACAACACAACTGTTGTCTTGTTATTTCTTAATTGCGCCGAGTGCCTGCAGTCTGTACGACCACTGAACATTCTTTGCAAAGAATAAGCTTTTGACATGTAGTTTGTGTTTGGACACTCACCAATATACAAATAACTTGTACAAACTAAATATGCCTCTCTTGATGAAGGTCAGGTCAAACAAGTTAAACTAGTTGTGCATGATGTGCTGATGAGGCAGTCTTCTTCCTTTGCGATAAAACAGAACGATATGAGTGCATACCGTGTATGATATTTATGTCATTGCAGTATGTATTGTGATGCGCATGCAACATCGTGGATGAAACTCTGTGTGACTGAAATGTGGTTTTAAAAACCTTTAGGGTGGTTAGTCACACAGGGAGCACTTGCTGTGAGCCTTTAATCCATGACGGTTACAATGGATTCAATACGTCCAGTTTTTCAGCAGAGCAAATATAAACATGGCTGAAAAAAATGTAACCAAGCCAACAGAAAAAAAGAAGGGTAAGAAAGTCTAAACTATGACTTAAGGTATGCGCATGCGCAGGCTCCTTCTTTGTTTGGTAAATTGACTTTCCAAACCCTCCTGGCGACTTTTTGTCATAAGCGGCCAGCGACCGTATCTGGTTTTATTAGAGACTTTCATGATGTCTGGCGTGAAAGCAATATTCATATGTAACTATATGTGCGTGTCTGTAAAAACGTAGTTTTTAATTAACCTCAAAATTATAGAACTATTTAATTCAAGGTATTACTTTTGGTAGTATTTTGGGAGACATTCTTTCCTTTTTAAGTATCTTGTAAATCCACTACAGTTCTCGAGGGAATGCTTTACTTCTTACACTAGCACACTTATCTGAAAGCTGCAGTTAAATACTATTCGGAGCAAGATTTCATATTTAAATGTTGTAGTGGTTTTCTATAATAAGACTGTAGTTTCCAGACTCTTTGTATTGTGCCACTTTATCTAACCGTCGTTCCCTTTTAGGGAGTCTGTTGTTCATAATAAATGAATCATTCAAACGGAAAATGCATCGTGGGAGATGTTTTACAAGCAAGAATCCCTTAGGTTTCATTTGACATGTAATGACATGTAATGTTTCTTGGGTGGAGTCGGAGCATTTTTTAGAGCAAAGGGAGTTTTACCCCCGCTGGAGTTTGACAAAGCTGGAGGAGCGGCATTGATCCACATCTTTGACCTTCTCGCTGCAGGTAAACCTTAGAATGTATATCGTGTCTTTAAGGATGTTAATCGCCGCGGGTGACTCTTATTGAACGTTTGAAAGCTGGAAGATCTTCACCGTGAATAACAAACTAAAGGCTGCAACGTTGCACGCTAGAATTTGAGGAAGGAAGTTGTTGCAACACGATAAATCAGAAATCAGGAAACATTTATTGCCATGACATGTCAGACATACGGAATAATAATAACATAAGGCCACTTTATCTAACCGTCGTTCCCTTTTAGGGAGTCGGTTGTTGAAAATAAATTAATCACTCAAACGGGAAATGCATCGTGGGAGGAGTTTCACAAACAAGAATCCCTTAGGTTTCGTTTCTTGGGTGGAGTCGCAGCATTTTGCAGAGCAAAAGGAGTTTTACGCCCGCTGGAGGAGCGGCATTGATCCACATCTTTGACCTTCTCGCTGCAGGTAAACCATAGAATGTATATCGTGTCTTTAAGGATGTTAATCGCCGCGGATGACTGTTTGAAAGCTGGAAGATCTTCACCGTGAATAACAAACTAAAGGCTGCAACGTTGCACGCTAGAATTTGAGGAAGAGTTGTTCCGACTCGATAAAAAGTTTGAACTGTTATAACCCAAGTAGATGAAATCCAGCATTCTGATTGGTTGAGAGTGAGTCACGGGGTGTACATTTTCCAAATATGAATGATTGAATATGTCTACACGCACGGTCTCCGCTACGGAAAAAGTGGATAAAAGCGGCCCTTTTGCCCCGGATGAGAAGAGAAAGGAAATGAGCTGACCGCCCGGTGCTGGAGGACTCTTGACGGTCCGGTTAACTAGACCTCAAATCTCCGATATCCACAGAGTTGTTGTCTCGAGGACAGAGAAATAGATCTTTATTATTTACATGTAATATTACCAAAGAGTAACGTATGGGGATGGTGACTCTCTCTGTATCTGTCCACACTAAAGTATTGAAAGGAAAAAAGAAGAAACAAATTATTATTAAAAAATGATTTTGAAAAATAACCCCTATGCCTTAATTAATTAATTAATATTCATTGATTGTTATAACTTGGTTTTGCTTTTGAAGTCTATTATTTGATCAAAAGCAAATTATTGATATTAATATGCTGAACATTTTCTCTTTTAATCAATCTATTGTTTGGTTATTTAAACAAATTCAGGCAATAACGAGAATACTTTCACTCATTGGTCTATCAAGCATTTTTTAATGATAATATTTTAAATGTTTGAACTTAACTTTTGCTTTTTTCGGCTAAATTCTTTGGCCAATCAGCGTTGAGATGTCTACAGCGTCTTCATTTCCCCTCCGAATCTTCACCCTTTCACTCCAAATTGAAGTTACCGCCCGACACTGGATTAATGTTATCATTAATATTACCGTACATGTTTGGGCGCAATCTATGACCTTAATGAGATAAGTTTAAATGGTTATAAAAGCTCGACGGTCAAGCACACATTAGCATTATGCTGGAGCCATGAAATCCTTTAACAAATTAATTTACTTAATCAACGTTATTTTTCTGTCAATTGATTATTTGAATTGTATTTATATGAACTGTTGGAGTCTTAATCTTTTGTATGGAAAATTCCTTGAGATTGCTAATAGCGGTTTCATTACTCATTATTTTAATTCAGTGAAATGTGATTCTCTGAGGTTGCAGTTGTTGATTTAAAACGTGACTATTTGCTGAACTTGCAGTTTCCGTTGGTGGTCATGGATGATTTTGTTCGTGATAAATTAACTGAATGGGGTCTACGCGAGTTGATAGAAACATTTAAAGGTAAAGTATTACGATCACAATGGCAAGTTCTACAAATCAGAGCATCACAGTCTTACTTTACATACACAGGGAAGACGCTTTGGATTTATTATGGTACGGATAAGAACACTGGCATCAGGGGAATGTAGTCACAATATATTACTCACTAGATTAACTTATTAGTTAGTTACCAGAGACGCGGTCTCTCTTTCCTCCAAACAGCTGTAATCATTCATGAATAAATCAGATAAAAGAGGGGAGGTGTTTATGTGTCTTTTGTTCAGACAGTTCTCTTAATTTGTCACTGTTAAACTCATGATCAGCTTTAGACAGTTAACCCTTTAAAACATATGGCATTATTATATTTTACTATTACATGAAACATGCTGCAATGTGTTTAACATTTGCAATTTGTCTCTCTGCCCAGAGAAGACAAAAGCAGCAAAGAGAAAAAGACGTGGACATTTCAAGGGGACACATTAATTAAGCCAAGTAACCGCTTGTTGGTATCTTTTCATGTTTTTTCTTGACTAGGATTAAACTTTGAATTTTTTAATTGCAGAACAAAAGATTGACAGGAAAAGTTTGTACTGTCTGGAGGATCAAGATATTGTTGAATTGATTCCGTTAGTGGGACCACGGTCCGTTTTCAAGACGGAACTGAAGTTGTTAAAGGTATTAATGTTCTGTACTGTACAATTTACACAATATTTTATACATAATTTAGGAGCACATAATTCATGACGCATAATTAATAATATATCTTTGACAATAATAGCATGTTCTTGAATTTTAACGTTTATTTACTATCATGGATTTACAAGGAACAAAACACAGCAAATCCGGATACATCTCATGCGTCTGCTCAAGTAAGTTGAATAAAGTTTCAAGCACTCAGGTATCATTAAGCATTTATTATGGATATTTATGTATTTATTTTAAAACCCAAATGTCCATGTTCACCCTCAGGTCATTCCGTCCACCAGTGGCAGAAGAAATGACGGTGAGATGCACTTTATCTTATTGATTGCATGTTGTGTTCATTGAATTTTTTAACATCTTGCTTTGACTCAACAAATATATCAAGACCATGTCTTAATATTGTGAGAGGCGGATGTAACAAACTTTTAATTCTTTCTTTTTTTCCACCCACCAAAAATCCCCAATAAGGAAAGAGAAAGTCTGATCTCCAGGGCGAGTCCAATCAACAGCAATCACCGACTAAAAAACAACACCTTGCCAAAGGTATTTATAATACTTTCCAAACAATGACAACCTCCAACTTACCAAAGGGGTTAATATTTCTATGTAATAACATTTTTACTAGTTTACTTACACAGCAAATGCCTGTTTCTGCATCTTGGTGACTAACTATGCTGCCCAATGTAATCTTACTAGAAAACTCCAGTCAGTCAACACACACATGCAGGTATCCATAGCAACGCTATGCTATGCTTCAAAGTAAAGAGCCTAACTGTGGCCTTTAACTGTATGATGTTTTAAGAGCAAGACCAGGGTTTATCCTTTGATAATCCAAACCAAGGTAGGATCCTGATGATCCACTCTGGAGCATCCTAAATGGACCTGGAAGAGAAAGTTCATCTCACGCTTTAGCTTCTTGCCTCATTGTGCATTACAGCTTACTCTATTCACTGCTTCATGGTTCCTGCTGAATAGTTCTTTATATTCACTCTGACAGAAATAAAGACACTGACTAAGGTGAAAGACATAATGCGACGTGTCCTAAAGACAATACCTCCTGAAAAAAACAACCTGAACGACTTCCTGAGGTAATGATTAAGTTTACTCAATTTTCATATCAATATGTTATCTTGGCTTGGTTCCACTCCAGGGGCCGATTTCACTAAGAGATTTAAGACCTGCAGGCCATCATTGGTTAGACCCGCTGTCCATTAAGTATGTCTATTTTCACAAATGTCTCGAAGGAAATCTTTTCAAATTCTATGGAAAAAAGTCTTAATTTTCCAAAAATAGACAGAAGGTACAATATGCTGTGGTGGCCTGTTCCTAGATGGATCTACTTCTGATCTTGACACATTGTGTTTTTGTGTTTTTTAAACCAACAAAAATAACCCACACTCATGCACAACAGGAGAAAAATCCATGATTTGGAGACGGACGAGAGGAAGGTGGTCGGTGTCTTCGGTAAAACCGGAGCTGGAAAAAGCTCTTTGATAAATGCCGTCATTGGATTGAACAAGTTCTTGCCCTCTGGAAGCGTCAGTGCATGTACATCAGTCTTGATTAAAGTGGAGGCTAACATGCAGAACCAAAAGGGCGAGGCAATCATTGAGTTTATTACGAAAGAGGTAAAAACCAGCTTAATATGTTTGTTTACTTAAAGCAATTTTACCTATTTTAAAAGGCATAATGTGGCTTCATATATACAGGTGTTGATTACACAGCATGCCATTTGATTTAACAAAGTTACATTTTGTCTATTTTTTGTCTATTTCATTTAGGAGTGGAGAGACGAGTTGTGGTTCTCAAAACATTTCGGTCTGGAAAATGAGGAAGATGACCACAGGGAGATTGTTGAAAAGCTGTCAGCGCTGTATGGAGAAGACTGGAAAGAAAAATCTTCTGATGACCTCATGGATGGCAAATATTTCATAGAGATCCAAGAATTTCTCCTTTCCAAGAAGAAGATTTTGACTGCCGATAAAGTAAGACTAAACATTCTGTATCACTTCATAAAAAGCCTTCTGTTTTGTCTGCGGGGTTGAAATGTCTTTCATGTAATATAAATGCTGCCTGGCTGTTACAGGTAGGTCAAGTTTAACATCAGTTTGACAAATGTAAAAGTAAAATCAGAATGTGATTCTTTTTTACTTAAAAAAAGAGTGGCCTCCATCTGCCTGTCCTTCAGTACTGCAAATCCACATAAAATGTACTTTTCATCATAAAGACTAAAATAGTAATAGTACAATATTTGTTCTAGACAGCTACCTGACTAGCATGACCTTTTGTGTACCCCAGGGATCGGTACATGAACCATTTCTATTCGGAATCGTTGCTCTCCTTAACTCTTTCTCATGTAAAGTTAATCATCAAACTGGAAGCTGCCGACTGTCAAACGTCTACCATAATCCTACAAAAGGTCAACATGGAACACATCAAAGTGTGCTACAATGATTAACATACTTACCATGACCGATTACTATTGAGTCCCTGGTTTTGAGTGAAATCGCCTGGCGTTGCCTTGATCTAATTTTACTATTTATTGCAGGATGAAGAGCTATTTGAAAAATTAATCAGATACACAAGAACCAAACCAGATGACACAGAAGATAAAGGCACAAAGAGGTGGTATTGGCCGCTGGTGAAGTGTGTGACCATCAAGGTGCCAAACGCTGATCTTCTTAAGCATGTCACACTCGTGGATCTTCCTGGAAACGGGGACAGTAACAAGAGCAGAGACACGATGTGGAAAACGGTAATTTACCACATGCAATGCTTTTTATTGTGTGTTACTGTGTTGTCTGTGTCGGGGGAGGATTGTTGAGCTGCACATTGTGATTCTCTCAAGAACTCTCTGTGATCTTTCTTACGTAACTCGTGATCTGACCTAGTTCACGATGGTGCCTTGACTGATCCATAAATGTTATTGATTGAGTGTCTCCACTACGTTGTCTGGTACTTTTCCATACATTTCTTTAGCGGAGGGGGGGGGGGGGTGCTCTCCTGAAGTGTATAAAACCTCCTGTTCTCCCCCAGAAGCTTCTTCTCCTCTTCTTCTTCTCTGAGAGAGTTAGTAATAAACACTTAATCACAAACGAGTTTATGATACTTTGGATTTCTTACAAGGGTTTAATCCACGAATTCATACTGCAAACTGTGTATTATTGTAAAGTGCTGATAACCATCATAATGAACTGTCGTATCCGTTCAGGTGGTTGGAAGTTGTTCCACTATCTGGATCGTGACTGACATTAATCGAGCAGCATCAGACAAAGAAGCCTGGGATATCCTGAAAGATGCCTGCAGCTACATGGGAAATGGTGGCCAGTGTAATCAGATTCACTTCATCTGCACCAAGTCTGATCCTCATCAAGATGCAGAAGATGAGTAAGTGGTTTAAGATGTCAAAAGTACATATATACATATATGTTAAAGTTATTAGGAGGAATTTGTAAGTGGTTATGAAACAGTCTCAATAATAATTCTGGTGCCTCTAAATTACCAATATTATAAATCAAGACCATCAGCATGAAAATTATTTTCTACATTCTCATTTTTAATGATGGTCATCGATTTTAGTCAGTTCTTCCAATGAAATTGACGGTATTGATGAAACCTCCTCTGCCTTGAGATTCCAGTATTACTTTTAGCTGAAAGCACATGGCCTAACTGATTTTATCTGAATTTAAAATAACCAAAACAAGTTCTTCTCTCAGCCTGAAATATATCATGCTCCGGAGGAGAAGCATATCTTCCTAAACGCAATAAGAAGATTACCTTCTTTTTCTGTACTTTGTCATTTTTTGGGGGCTTTTACCGTCAAGCGCAGCAGGTTGCTAGGCAAACGGGAGCAGCAGAGGTAAAGCTGATGACGCAGGCAGGACGTCCCCCTGTAGGGCGGACTGTCTCATTTCAGCCTACGCGGTTGTTGGAGGGCCGCGAAGGCTGCTAAAGGCTGGAGGCTACAAGGATGCGGTCTAGTGACTCTGAGACACACATTGCTTAAATACACTGGGACGGTGCAGGTGATTGGACACAGGTAGAGACAATCAGCGACATGACAGGGCAGGAAGTGAAGCTAAACCAGGGACACAAGCGACAGGAAGCTACAAAATAAGACAGGAGAGAAACCCACACCGTGACGCAACTAAACAATCGGAAATAATATTCTGTAACTTTGTATTTATTAATAACAACTCACCCGAAAACCTGAAATTGAATGATGGATCTTATAGTTGCAGCTACAGATTGAATAGAGATCTTTTAGACTTTAATTTTGTATGCTGAAAATAAAGTGAATTTAAGGTTTTAGTTCTCCAAAAACAGTTTGAGGTGGAATTTAATGGGACCGTTTTCATTTAGTTCAAGAACTGGTATTCATGATTTCATCTTGAAAAGAAACCGGCAAGCCAAAAAAGAAGTGATGAAAGAATTTAACCAACTAAAGGAGGTTAAGGTGAGTATTGTATAACAAAAAGTTTATCACACGTTGTCTACAGCTGCAAGCTCAACTTAAAACCAGAACGTTTTCTTTTCAGAAACACTTCAGTGAGGAAAGTTTCAAAGTCTTCACAGTGAGCTCCGTAGAGTTTCTGAATCAGGAATATCTAAATCAAGAAGAAACTGGTAAGTGAAGTCTCCATATATGACCACATTTTGTATTTACTTTCCTGTAATACAACAAATTAAATGAATAATTGGATATTGGAATTACACTTTTTCACAGAAATACCCAAACTTCAGGAGTTCCTGCAGGAGCTCAATGACTGTCACAAAGAGACGTTGAACTACGTGTCCGGAGCCCGCGGGATCCTCTCTCTGATTCAAGGGGCCAGCCGCAGAGGAGGGGTAAGATCAAGTGATCACATCTCTTTCTTTGACTTTAATCATCAAATTGACAGAATATAATGAGAAAAGTAAAAGACAGACATCCTAAATACATACATTTACCAATCAGTCAGTTGTTTTCCTAAATTGTTTTGCTTCTGTAATTTAAGGGGGGGTCTCGCTCAAAATCAAGTAACTTTATGGTTTCATTGCTTTGAATGCTGAATGTGTTGTTGTTTATTACAGTCTGAGATAAAGAAAGATGTGTGCACAATCCTTGAAGAAAAGATGACAGATGAACTTGAAAAAGTCCATAAACAAATGGAAGAAACTTACCAGGCTTTTGAAAAGTGTCTCAGTGACGGAGTTGAGAAATCTGAAAGTTACTGTGAAAAAGCCTTGGAGTCTGTGATAAATCCTGTAAGTATATGAATTATAACTACATCATTATTACTACATCATTATTAATACATCATTATAATGGTTGATGTACACTACATTGTTAAAATATTATTTTCTTTCTGTTTTGTTTCAGAGAGGGTCAGGAAGTGGTTTCCACATGACACTGAGGTCTTTAGTAACGCACAACGGCATCTACAAAGCAAAAACAAACAAAAATCAAAAAAAGAGGAAACAAAAAAACCTGAACATGGCGTTATCTTCATACCTGACTGAGAGCATCGATGAGAAATTCAAGGAGACCTTCCCGTAAGAAATAACTTAATAAAGACATAAACCTTGTGCAGGCTGGTTGTACAAACTATCTCTGGAATTAATAGTTCATACATTATGCAGTAAAAACTGTTATTTGATATGATACATACATTTATAATACTTTATTGAAATACAATCTTCTCATTGCTGTTCATGAAACTTTTCAACTTGTTAACATGTTTCAGAAATGAAATAAATTGTGGACCATTCAACGGAAAACTCAATTCGTTTTCACTTGACACAAAGAGGATGAAAATGGATCCAGAGTACGAAGATGTGGAACTTCAACTGGAATTTCTCAATGCAGAGGTAAAGTTGCTAGTTATTAGTCCACTGTGTAGCTGTCAGTGCAGGTCAGAAAGGCCAAAGTAGAAGGGTGAGAAGAGAGGAGACACAAGAGGAGCCTTATTTTTATATTATCTTGATTGTATTTAAAATATGTAGATCTTTTCATATTCTCTCTCTCAGGAAATTAAGATGAAGAAGAAACTCATCAAAATCATCCGCGATCGCAAGAAAAAGATCTACAGCAGTCTGATGACAACAGTTGAGGAATCAATGCAGAAATGCTATGACGGTACGATAAAAGTCAATATGCACATTATTTACTATGATTGTGCCTAATGTAATTCGAATTTAATTGAATTCACAAACGTTTTCTGGTTTATTGTAGATGCAAAAGGAATTCGAGGACCTGACTTGCTGAATAACATGAGAGAAACGATGAGGAAGCACGTTCATGATTCAAAAAACATCATGTTTAAGAATGCTAAAAAGGTCATGTTGAACCAGCTGAGAGAGTTAAGGGTTTGTAACATTTTATAATACGTCAAAAAAAATCAAGAATATGCATCTTTTTTGATAGTTCTTTTGCACTAAAACTGTGCACGCCACACTTCACCCTTTACATCATTCAGTCATTAGTGTCTGAAATACATATAATATGTGAGTGATGAAGATATTTATAATAATTTAGGACGACATCCTGAAGGACCTGAAAGAGACGATGCAGGAATCAATCGAGCTGTCGCTCAAGACAGACGGTTACTCAATTCCAGGTAAAGGCAACAAAATAAAAACATAATAATCTCTAAAAATACAAAATATTTGTAAACAAATTTCCAATTGTGTGAACTTGATGTTAACATTATGTTTTTTTAGATGTTGCAGAGGAGCTTGATATGGTGAAGAACCACCATGAAGAACTGACGGGAAGCGCAGAAGAAGACCAGTAGTTTGGTAAAAGCTGTTAAAATATCTACATAATGACTCCGTATTGAGCTGTATAACTCTGACGTTGCTTTTCATCACTAGTTGATCGTCCGCCAAGCTGCTGAACAGCTGATGAGCAGCTGATGAGCAGCTGAAGAGCCCGAACCCTTTGAGACGTGAGGCCTCTGGATTTGGTCTCAACCATTTTTATCAACTCATCTCATTACAATTGTCTTTGATGTGTACTTTGAATTAGCTTGTGGTCATAGACATGCATTGCGATTTGAGATTTTACATGTTTTGTGGGACATTTTAGTTTTTAAATGATTAAAGTTTAGACGCAGACAGAAGCTGTGTGTGTGTGTGGGGGGCGGGAAGGGGGGAGCAGGATGTCACATTGTGGTTTAAGAGTACAGCTCTCAGCCACCTATGATTACCAGTTTAGTGATTCACATTTTTCTTCTTGACTATATATCTATAATAATACAATTTTAATTGTAGTTTAGCAGTTGATTAGTATTGGTCTCAGTGTGTACTGTATGTTCAGCTTGGCAATGATTTTAGGCTTTTTTAAGATTTCTTTCTGTCATTTTCAAAGATAAAACTTTTTTACTGCAAAATAATGTTTAAATGTGTTAATTGATGTATCAAAAATTGGATGGAACTAGATGATTGTAATCAACCAACAAGCATATCTGGTTTCTTATTATTTAGTGAATAATTGTTTTGTCTTAATATACATTCTACGTGCATTGATAGTATTTTGCACGGTAAACTCTCAAATAAAGTTAATTTTCAAAGTGTCACGTGGGCTTCTTTGTTATTCATGTTTTAAAAGGATCTTAAAGCTTCTTATGTTCTCTCTAAATCACTCTCATTATGACATCAACAAAGGATTTTCCAACACTGTTCTTGTAAAATATTTCATATTTGAACCTTATTCAATACAGTTCTCAAATGCTATATATATTTTAAAGGTGGGATTAATTCATAGTACAGATATATTATATGATTTATTGATAGTATTTTGCACGGTATACTCTCTGTATAAAAAAGTGAACTGCACCACTATTGGACCTGTTCCCATGTCATCTGGGGCACACGATGCCCAGCTATGGAACTGAAACTGTTGAGCCTTCCCTTCTATCACACTGTTTGCCTTTGATGAAAAGGCTTGTCGGTTATTTGGTTGTGATGAGTTCCGCCAAATCACTCTTATTATGGAAGGTCCCACAGAACTCTTTTCCAGCTAAACTTGAACTGAGTGCATCAGCTCATATAAATGATCCATCTGGCCTTGGGAACTCCCAAAGATTGAAAAAACCCTCTCTCTAAATCTCTTAATCATTTAATTTTCTCCCTCTGCATTGAGTGTTTACTGTGAGCATATAAAAACTCTAGGATGCTCTCGTTATCAATTCCGGAAGTCTATTAAAATAATCAAAGACAAATTTCTCTTTGTAGGTCTCCCTTTAGTCAATTTTCCACCACACTCTCAGTAAAGTTCACTTTTAAAGTGTCACATGGGCTTCTTTGTTATTCATGTTGTATAAGGATCTTAAATATTCTGTATGTTCCCTCTAACCACACTTATGAGATCAACAAATGATTTTCCAACACTGTTGGTTGTCAAATGTTCCATACTTAAACCTTATTCAATACAGTTCTCAAATGCTATGTATATATATATTTGAAAGGTGTGATGAATTCACATAGTAGTTTATACCTGTTAGTAGACGTGTTCACACATTAGCCCCATGCTGAATAGAACGTGGAGTTCCACTCTTACTTTCCCTTCTATATGAGATGCCAAAAGGCCTCCTGTCTGCATTGGATTCCTTTCAATGGATGTCTTTGTTTCTTCCTCTGCTATTTTACTCTTCAATTCTTACATGTCGACCATGGAAAGTGAATTGTGAAGGAGGGGTACCGCCTTTTTCTGTATCTGTTAAAAAGACAACACAACTGTTATTTTCTAGTAATTTCTTTCTTGTGCAGAGTTCCTGCAGTCTGTACGACCACTGAACATTCTTTGCCAAGAATAAAGCTTTGACGTGTGGTTTGTGTTCGTACATTGAACATTGATGAATAAGCTGCTGTTTGCACAATGAACCATGAAGTTATAACAATTTTAATTTCAACAAAAATCAAAACAGCATTTTTGAAGAGAGACAAGCAACTAGGTCAAACGAAATGTTGTGCACAAGAAACAGCACGCTGAGAAGTCAAAATTTGGAATATAAAGTTGCCGTTGCTTTGCATATATAACCAAAGGATGGTTCCTCATTGAGGTGGTGTGTGCGCGCCACAGAGACAAGTAAAAGCATGCAAAATGACTGTATAATTAAAACAAGTGGTGTCCAACGGTTACACATACTTCCTTGTTTTACATTGGCTTTGCATTTGTTCCTCGGGTACAGCAGGTTTTTCTGGGTTTTTACAAACGAACGCCTCTCTTGATGAACCCAGCTTTGATCAAACAAGGCGAAGTTTACTTAAAAATGTACTTAAAATAATTGCATGATCTTCTCTTGTTTTATACTAACCCATAGCCTTATTCTACTAACCCATTACATTAGTATTTCATTTTACTTTATTTTATTACTTGTGCACTGCTGTCTTGTTGTCTATTGTTACACTGTCTACTGTCACGCACCAACCGCTAAAAGACACATATATATGTATATATATTCTATTAAACTGTTAAAATGTGTTTGTGTAAGTCCAATTGTGAAGCAGGAAAGAGGAAATTCAAGCTTATCTTCCTGTTATTTTACTAATTGAAGCACTTACTTTGAACATGCAGAAATTTTTACTTTTTAAAAAAAAATGCAGCCCTACTTTTATTTAGTTCATTGAGAGAACACTATTTATATTTGCATTCATAGATATATGTTAAGTTCTTTGTTACGTGACAATAAGTATTGTCAAAGCAGTTTTAGAATCATACTGAATTCATTTGATTTGTTAGTCGTGTATTGAGAGAGAGAGAGAGAGAGAGAGAGAGAGAGAGATTTGATTTTTTTAAAACACTTTATTTACACATTTGTATCTTTTATCCTTTAAACAATATGATCACACGTGCCACTTTTTGTTGTTGTTTTTTTTCCTTCCAAGAAAAAATAAAACATAAAAAAAAAGTAAAACTATGTAATCACCTGCTAAAAACTTGTGCAAATACCAGCTCGCCATTGACCACAGAACAAACAATGTCATTAAAACACCAGCGCTGTTTAAAAGCGTCCAAGTCCCCAATGTGTTTATAAAACCTAAACTCCAGCCAGAGCCTTGCTCTAATGTTGCCTTCCAGAGGAAGTTGTGCTCAACGCGGTCAAAAGCCTTTTCCTGGTCTAGAGAAATCAGACCAGTATTAATACCCAACGAGCTGGCGACCTCTAAAACATCACGAATGAGGTAGACATTGTCTACCATGGACCTGCCGGGCACACAGTAGGTCTGGTCCCGATGGATGACCTGCTCCATAGCTTCCCTCAGCCTGGAGGCAAAGACCCTGGACAGAAGCTTGTAATCCACGCACAGTAGAGACACAGGGCGCAGTGCCGATGTCCTGCAGGTTCCCCTTCTTCGGCAGTAGTGTATCACCGCTCTGCGGCAGGACATCGGCATGGAACCAGAGGCCAGACTCTCATTAAAAACCTCCAGGATATCAGGTGCAAATATATCCCAGAATGTTTAAAAAAATTCTGCGGGGAGGCCGTCGATGCCAGGAGCACGCCGTCCCTGCATGCCCTGCAAGGCGGCCTTCAGCTCCTGCACCGTTATGGGCCTGTCGAGCACTTTGTTTGTCTCCTCAGAGACTTGAGGTAGTCCGCTCCAGAACTCCTCCGTCAGTGCTTCCTCCTCCCTGTACTCACTGGTGTAGAGGGAAGAGTAAAAGCTGACCGCTCGCCTCCTAATCTGGCATGGTTCCACCACCGGCAACCCTGTGTCTGCCAACAGTGCGTGGATCTCCCCTGCCCACTCTTCCTCTCCAGGCCGAAGAAAAAACTAGAGGGAGTGTCCATCTCCGTGATGGTCTGGAATCAGGACCTGACCAGTGCTCCCTGAACTTTAACGTCTAACAGGTCGGCCAGAGCCATTTTTTTGATCTTGAGGACTAAAATCACTCTTCCTCAGCCTAAAAACACTCCAAAAATATGAAAGGACCGCTCTAAAATTCTTATCAAATGTTAAACCGGAGTTAAAATGCCAGTACGCGCTTTTTGGCAAAATGTTCCTAATAAAAACCTTACACACCAGAAGGGAATGAGCTGAGAAAACAGCCGGTACAATGGTACACATTTAAAAAATATTAAAATGGTGCTTAAAAACATAAAACCGATCAAGCCTGGCTGAGGAGATTCTACCTTCTCTGAGGTGGGACCACGTGTACTGTCGGCAGTCTGCATGCATCCTTCTCCACACATCCACCCGGCCATGAGACCGGACCAGCTGCCTCAGAGCGTGCTGGGAAGCTGGATGTGGCTCTGCGTGATGCGGTCTATAGTCGCATCTTCTGTGCTTGAAAGACCTGGAGAAGAGGAAGCCCAGTCCTCCACTGAGGTTGGTGTTGTGGCTCAGCAGGACTTCCCCTTCCCACTCCCTCCTCCAGTCGGCCTCGTTGGTGCTGTCGCTGTGCGTCTCTTGCACGAAGAGAACATCAAGACGTTTCATTTTTTTTAATTCATAAATAGATGCCCTCTTCTTGGCATCTCTGGCTCCATTCACGTCCAGGCTTCCCACTTTTAAAGTATCCATGATAAATACAAAATAAAAAACACAAATGAAAACCAATAAATCAATTAAAACACACATTAGGGCTTTTTTCGTGATCATCGTTGATTGCTTGTTTTGCTTTTAGCACAAGTTTATTGATCTAAAATCCTCTTGATCTGTGAAGCCAGACTCCTC